ATCCTGATCACATTGTAAGTCAATTATCTCAAGCTGTATGTTGATGGGCAGATCCGCAGCCTTAACTGTGAATGGCGAGCGAAAAATTGCAAACTCTGTCTCAAGCTCACCGAAGACCTGAAACCGCTGCTCAAACTCCCGCAGCAATTCCGTAATTTTGTCTTTGTAGCGACTCATGTCAGCAGTAATTCCGGTCATTTGCACATTTCTTAGATGAGGGAAATGAGCAGCGGCACCACTTGACAGCTGTGTCTCCCACAAAGTCAGCTTCAACTTAAATGCGCGTATGTTGTCATAATATTGTGTGACAACTTTCTTACGGCCTTGCAGCATCTTGTTCAGGTTATTCAAGTGCTCTGTAATATCCACCATATATGCAAGGTGCTGCAGCCATTCTGGGTTTTTTAATTCATGCACTGGTTTGCCCTTTTTCTCCATGAACTGTCCAATTTTCTCTCGTAGATCAAAAAAACGCTTCAGCATGGCACCTCGGCTTAACCACCTTACTTCAGCGTGGTATGGTAGGCCAAAGTTGATGTCTTTATCACTGAGGAAGTTGTCAAACTGACGGTGATTCAGGCCTCTGGCTCGGATGAAGTTAACAGTTTGGACAACCACTTTCATGATGTGATCCATTTTTAACGACTTGCAACACAATGCCTCCTGGTGCAAAATACAGTAAAATGTCCAAAAACGTTGTCCTCCATTTGCAGCTTGTACTTTCTCCTTGAATTTCGTCACAACGCCTGTTTTTCTCCCTATCATTGATGGTGCGCCGTCTGTAGCCACACTGACATCACGGGTCCAGTCCACTCCGACCCGGTCCAGCGCTTCAACGACAGCGCTAAAAATGTCATTCGCTGTAGTGGTGTCTGTCATAGGTACCAACTCAAGGAACTCATCAACACCACGAATGAATATGGCCAGTTGAGCAACATCTGTAATGTCAGTGCTCTCATCGATTGCAACTGAAAATGCTACAAATGACTTGACTTTATGCTTCTTTTGGCTATCCAAATCCGCTGAAAGATCAGCAATCCTATCCGTCACAGTATTCCTCGTTAGGCTTATGTTGGCAAAAGCCTGTCGCTTCTCAGGGCACACGATTTCTGCAGCCTTCAGCATGCATGTTTTCATGAACTCACCCTCACAGTATGGCTTAGAGGCTGATGCTATTTCGTTAGCAATCAGGTAGCTAGCTTTCACTGCTGCCTCACTTGTCTCTCGGCTCCGGGTAAAAACAAACTGTTGTTTCTTTAGACTTGCAAGTAGGTCATTTATCTTCTCTGTTCTCAGTTTTCCTTGCAAGCGGTCGTATTTTTAGCCATGGTGAGTCTCATAGTGGCGCTGAATATTATATTCTTTGAGCACAGAAACTTTCTGCGAACACAACAAACACACAGCTTTTCCAGTTACCGTTGTAAAAAAATAGGATGTGGTCCATTTTTCTTGGAAAACTCTGCACTCTGTGTCCACTTTTCTCTTTTTTGACAGAGACATTTGGGGGTGAGGGTGTCACGCTTTTGGCAGAAAAAGACCGGGGCGCATTAAAAAAAGCCGGTTGCCGCCATCTGCTGTTTAGTTCTCAGTGTAAATCGCTACTCTTACTCTTCACTTGTTTACAGTCTATGTGGGCATGCTCTGTGACAGTGCGACCCCAGTGGACTGATTATGAATTGCAGCTACTTTTATAGAAATGCAATTTATGTCTTTCTGTAATTTTCACACTTAGCAAAGTCATCGGGTGGGCCAAGCTGGACCCCCTGGCGGGCCGGATGTTTGACACCCCTGGTCTTGTCTGTCTGCAGTATTGAGAGATTATTATCATGCCTGGAATGAAAAGACTCGATTGGTCGAGTGGTATCACATGCAATGGCTTACCTTGAATGCTATTGGTCTGGGCTTTAAGCCACTACCGCAAAGACTACCAAGAGATGCATGTGTACAGATTGAAGGGCTCTGTGTCAACTCAAGCATATAAAGTGAGATGATTTAAGACGTGTTGTGAATAGTGTTATTACATATTAGATATCAGTCATGTCATATTATGTTTCATATTAAGCCTTATTGGATGTACTATAATAATAGGTGATTAGGGATTAGTAAAGTCAGTGAGGGATTTCAGATTCGGCCATCAGATGGAGCCAGAAGGGAAGGTCATAAAATGTCACAATGACCAACCTGGGAGGAGCTACGTTTGAAAGTGCAGCCAATCACATACGGCTGTAAAATGTTGGACACACCCTGCAAATTTCTGGGGAGAGGGAGGACCCTGTGCATTGCCACTGCTGCTTTTCATTGCGGACATCTTTGTCCTGTATTTTCCTCCACAATTTTGTGCTCTGAATGTGAAAGATCCGAACGCAAAAATATCAAATTTGAATCTGAAAATAGAAAATCTGCAACCAAAAAATACAATACACCGAATATAAAAAAGCATATTTAAGTGAAGATTGAAAAAATCTTTTATTCAACATGATAAAACTGAGTCAAAACTATATTCAACCGAAAAAATACTTTTTTTGTCCACTTATTTCTATTTTGAATACATTGTTTTTCAATGTTCAAGACCAAAACTTTCAGGTTCGAATTTGTTTTTCAAATGATCAAAACTTTTGACCTGGATATGGCTCCATACATACACACAACCACAGTGCAAATTATTTGCGCTATTTGAGATCATCCTGCTTATATTTTGAGCGTCGCTCTTTAAAAGCATATGAATTATTTCAAATGTATCTTAAATCAACCACATGAACATATGAATATAACACATTTCCATGACTTTACCAAAACCTTTGGGATTTTGTTTTTTTCGATGACTTTTCCAGGCCTGGAAATGACCATTTAAAAATTCCATGTCTTTTCCAGGTTTTCCATGACCATACAAACCCAGCTTGCTGTTACAGTCTTTGTCCACACATTGTGCCTGTCTGCACCCACTGGTAATGACACTGTTGAGAACCACCATTCGCCTGGCATCTTTTGAAGTATTTTTTATCCTCATCCACTCCCACTCCTCTTTCTTCCATGTGATCTCTGGCCCTCCCTAGAAATTCCTGAGCCGTAAGCTTAATTGCAGTATGGTGGCGTCTATCTCTGAGTTTTTACTGTTTTAGGTTCTACTCTACTGACAGACTAAGTCAAACCTAACTGATGAAATCTAAGAAAATGTTAACACAAGTTACCAATTGGAATCAGTAATGCATAGGAAACAAGGGGAATTAGACAAATAAAATGGCAACAATATACACTGCCTGGCCAAAAAAAAGGTCACATACTCTTAATATTTCATTGGACCGCCTTTAGCTTTGATTACGGCACTTATTTGCTGTGGCATTGTTTGGATAAGCTTCTGCAATGTCACAAAATGTATTTCCATCCAGTGTTGCATTAATTTCTCACAGATCTTGTATGGATGATGGTAGCAAAAAGCCTTCTCCAGCACATCCCAAAGATTCTCAAAGGGGTTAAGATTTGGGGCCGTATCCCTAAAGATTCTGAGAATCCTCTCAGAGACGCTCCTTGCCAGGAGTTTTAGCTTAGAAGTGATTCCAGAACATTTTCAGTGAACTCTGAGCAAGGAATGGATGGAAAATCCTATCTTAGTGAGGAGGTGTGATTGACCCCGTTGCTAGGTATGAGTCATCATTTCAAAAGCCGTGATTGGTTGATCTTACAAGTTTGATGAAAATGAACTTTTGGTGATAATGAGCAAAGGATGTACCCTCAAATCAATAAACATAATTATACACTCTAATGTTATGCAGACTGTAATTGTAAATAATATTTCACATTCAAGAAAATATCTGGAAAATGAATAGTAAGCTGTAGGGTTTATAGCATAACATTAGAATATAAAATATGTGAAAACTTAAGCTCATTACACCCTGTTCAAATAATGATTTGTGTCTTATTTGCTCATATTAATATCCTAGTTGGCATATTTTGTACTTTCACTCCCATATGGACCCCATTGCAATCGTCGCCTGAGCATGTGCACGGTCGTCCTCCGATCAGAGGGTCGTGGGTTCGATCCCAGGCCTGGCTAACCCGCATGTCGTTGTGTCCTTGGGTAAGACACTTAACCCAACATGGCTCCTGTAGCTGCGACTACAGTGTGTGGATGGTAGTTACTGATGGCAGGTGTCACTGTCTATGGTTCTCCTGTCATCAGTGTATGAATGGGTGTGAATGGGTGAATGATGTCATGTAGTGGTAAAGCGCTTTGAGTGGTCAGAAGACTAGAAAAGCGCTATACAAGTACAATCCATTTACCATTTACCATTACCATTGAAAACAAGATGACCTATCTCAAGCGGCTGTCCTTAATGAAGTAGAAATTGCAACGTTACAACTCAGTGTGGTCTTAACGAGGGTAAGACGGCTCAGCTTTTATCAATGTCTGTGATTGCTTGCTGGTCTATTTATGAAGGCTTGTTAACAAATATCCTACAAACACAGAAAATGGAGAAAAAAAGGAATCGCAAGCCAAACTGGACTGAGGAGCAAGGTTTGTTGCTGGCCCAGTTGGTGAACGAACATAAAGGTATGTTACGAGGAAAATTTGGCCCAACTGTCACCAGCCAAGGCAAGAGGCGCGCCTGGGACACAATATCCCAAACAATCAATGCCTCTTTTCCACTGGTGGTGCGGACAGGCGACGATTGTGAGAAAAGGTGGCATGTGCTGCAGTCCAAGACAAAAGATGAGATTGCAGCACACAAGCGGGAATCCTCACTCAAAGGATGAGCAAAATACTATAGCCTACCACATAATCTGGCAACTTGCTCCTGCTGGCAAAGTTAATTTACATGCCTAAGTTCATTGACTGTTTCTTTCTAGGGGGTGGACCACCTGCAAAGCGGCTGTCCCAAGTGGCCGACACTGTCTTTCAAGTCCTGGGACACTCTGAGGTCAGTGTCACCGGGCTGCCAACAGGCATTGACACGTCAATGATGCAGGCCCTTGAAATGCAGCAAAGGTAGGACACAGGGTTATTCATATCAACAGTGTTTATTCATTGCAGAAGCCATTTCATGTGTTATCCATGCTCATTGTATTAAATTAATTTGATCAAAACAATAATTAAACTAGGCATATGTATTTATGTAGCATGGAGCCATCACAAGAACTGGGCCCATCAAGTTTGCTGACAAGATTGCCGCCTGAACCACCTGCAGCTGCTACTCAGGATAGCCCGGCGGATCAAACACCATTCCCATCCGCAGCACCTGCTCCGTCAGCATCCCTGCAGGAGGGAAGATTGATGTGTTTGAACAACAAAAAAAAGTCCTTTCCCTTCAGGAGGAGTACTACTGCCTTAAAATTGAACACCTAAAAAAGAAATCATTTAGAGATTGTGTTCTGTGTCTTGCATTTAACAATTGCAGGTGATGTGCAGTAAAACTGTGGTAGTTCTTAATACCATCACAAGTTCTCAAATGACATGGGGCTACAGCTTGCCTGAAATGTAAATTTGTGAAGTTTGCCCTGTAAGGCAGTCACTAGGTTCCCCTGTGGAATGTGAATATCTTCTTCACCACCATCCTCATCGTTGTCTTCATCCTCATCCTCATCGCCATCCTCCAGAGTTTCTGCAATCTGTCTAACCTTGCAAATATTGTGTAATATTGCACAGGCTATGATGACTTTGCTGACTTTTTCAGGCCTCAGCCGCACCTCTCCGTGGAGAACATGAAAGCGCCTCTTAAGCTGGCCTATGCCACGCTCCACCACCGCTCTTGTTGTCTTGTGGGCCCTACAATAGAATACAGACCTTTAATTATTTGATGGAAATATTGCACTACTTGGATGCTCTAACATATTGCTTGCATTTCATTTCCATGATTTTTGTATTGTTTGGCTTACCTGTTATAATTTCGTTGGGGCCCTTGGCGTGGCTGGAGGTAAGGTGTAAGGAGCCATGGTTTGCATGGGTAGCCACTTTCCCCTAACAAGTGGCAATTAGCCGGCACATAGCGTCTCTCAAAAAGCTGTCTGATGCCACTCTCGGAGAGCATTCTCGCATCATGTGTGGAGCCTGGCCATTTAGCCACAATGTCCAAAATCTTACAGGCCGCATTGAACACTATTTGCACATTGATGCTGTGGAAATTCTTCCTGTTAACAAAGACAGCCTCGTCCTCTGATGGCGCAATTATTCTCACATGTGTTCCATCAATTACACCCACAACGCCAGGGAATCCTGCAATGTCCATAAATGCCCTTTTATGTGCTGCGGGCATCCTGCGGGAATAAAACAAATTATGTCACAATATTAGGTTGCGACAAAGCTGTCAGTGTTTGGGTGACTCTGCTGTTGACGGAGGATTGGAACAGACCCACGTCATCACTGCTGCATTGTTGCATTTTCCCTGTTGCCAAATACCTCAGGGTTGTGATTTCTTTCTTCTCCGGTGTAATAGCGTTGTGGCGTCGAGTTGGTGAAGTAATTGCATCTCTAAGGAGATCCACCACAAACATGATTCCTGCACGATCCAATCTGTAGCGTCTCAATAATTCCCTGTCATCCAGTGTTTGCAGGACATCTCTCCTGCCTCTTCTGTTGGCCATTTTGTGCAGCTGCTTAGGGGAACTCCTAAGCCACTAAAAGTCCTCTTCCCTGCTCTTAGCAGATCTCGCCTTAGGAGCCCTTTTAAGCACTAGAAATCTTGAGGAATAGCTTTTATATTAACTGGGATTTTCGTGTCACTTTTAGGGGAAATTCTAAGAAAACGTCATGACTCTTGAGAATTTTGCCACTTTTTGCACAAAAATTCTTTAGGTATACGGGCGCCAATCCATGTGTGAAAATGATGTCTCATGCTCCCTGAACCACTTTCACAATTTGAGCCCGATGAATCCTGGCAGTCATCTTGGAATATGCCAGAGAAGAAAAAATCCATTGATGGAAAAACCTGGTCATTCAGTATATTCAGGTAGTCAGCTGACCTCATTATTTCCACACATACTGTTGCTGCCGATGCAGCAATGATCCAATAGGAGGCTCGTATCTATTTGCTTAGTTAAATCCAAGTGTATTCTTAACTAATATATTTTGAAATCTGGTAAAAAAATAAAAGAGGTTGGATCTCTGCTCGGCTCTATATACAGTGTTTGTTAAGCTGTCAACTTCAGTTCTTGACACATCTGACACTCACACTGCTGATAGAAACCACATTTAATAATGACATCACAACACTTAGTATGAGTTTACAAAATGGAGATCCGACAGTCAACATCAATGCTACTATGAAATAACATACAGCAGAATAATAAACTGAGTGCGGATAAAACAGTGTATTTTCTCTGGTGGTTGTTTGGTTTGTCCTAGTGACTTCAGAAGCTTGTTCAACACAAATCCATAAATCATTACAAATGTATGTAATAATCCACAATGACATGAAGCCCATTGGCTTTGTATTGCGATTTACAAGGTGATGCATACTTTTGGTTGGCCTACATACATTTGTAATCCCTGCAGCTGTCTTTACACCTATGTCCAGTAAAATGAACTTCAAACTGGGGCTTTAGTGGTGAACCAGCCATTCACTTGGGTCCACAGGCTGCAAGCAGTCTGGAGAATGGTTACTCTCCTCAGCTGTTTGCTGTAATAGTTCCTCAGATCACAGAGCTCTTCTGCTGCACTCTCAGAGATGATGGAGGCGTGCAATGGAGAGCTGGGCACGGGGATGCTGGCTTTGCTATCAACTGGACCTGGATAGTGAACAGCTACTTCATCTAAATCAGCCCAGGGTCTGCTCCTCACTCTCAGAAGTGTGGTGGCTTTGTGTTCGGAACAAGGTTTAACTGAAAGTGATGGTGTTTGATGACCATCACTGTTATCTATAATGTTTATTTCGGCATCAATCTTAATTCTATGTTGAGATGCAATCGAGTGCCCTTTGTTTCTCTCTTCCTCTCCTGGTCGGTTGGTCAGCGGTTTCTTTTCTTTTTACTGGACTAGATCCCCTGGTCTAATGTAGTGGTCCCTGATAATGTGGTCAGAGTTCATATTCATCTTCTCCTTATTGGCTAATATGTCCTGTAACCATGTGACAACCTAGCGTCAGTCACTAACAGGAGAAAAGTGATGAGAGCTCACTCCCCATAAAATGCATTACTTCCTGTCCATTTAGAGTGACATGAAATAAATAAAACTACAATGAAAGAATATTTACTCTCTGAAGTCAGTGAAAACAAATCAAACTTGAACGCATGAAATTCAGCAGCAGAGATCATGGGTAACAGGCTTGGGCGATAATGATAAATGTCATATTTGATTTCTGATCAAATTAAAAAGGAACTTCACTGTCCTGACCCTGCATCTGACCTACAGATATGTCTTGTTTCTCTGCTAATGCAAACGAGAGAAGGCTATCATCAAGCCTTTTCACAGACACCAAGCAGTATGAGAAGTAACCAGCCATAAGATCTTGTGGTGCCAGCAATGTTTATTGCCCAAGCCTGTTGCTTAGGAACAATTTAATGACATAAACAGAGGCATAAACAGATTCCACCACCACTCAACACCGTGTGTTCCAAAAGTGAAGCATTAAGTCTGAGAATGTATAGTGCATTGTTAACAGAAGCAGTAGTCAGCAGAGTAAAGAATGATGGACTGTACTTTGGCAGCTTCTCTTCTAGACAAGGTGGGCGGTTAGGAGACGTTTGTCTTGACTTTCTTGGACACAGGGGCATCTCCACCACTTTGAACTGATCCCTTTCCCTCTTTGGCACTGCCCTGGCCACTCGCAGGTTTCACCTGCAGGTAATTTGTAACAATTCATTGTAGAACAATGTCTATTGTTTGATGTAGTGAATACTGACAAAACTACAAAACAATTCTAAAATCTCCCTCTTCCCAGAGTGATTTGAGATATATATTCAAAATTGCAGCAGGTCATATGACCCTATGGTCATAACTTCACCTGGATTCCGCTGTGGTTGAAATCCAAACGTTCCACGTTTGCAAGAAATATTTCAAAATACTCTGAACTTGAATGTTTTTCTACCTTTCTAATGACAAGCAAGGAATAGAAACGGATGGTTAATACTGGTAATTCTAATAGTAGTAATAACAATAACTATTACTAATGATAATCGTGATGAGAACGCCTGCGGCGGTCGGACATAGCGCCTGCGAGTCAGTCGTCCTTGACCCTGTGGAGCGAAGCCGGGAAAGATGCTCGGCAAACTTTGTTTTTAACGTTATCAAGCTCTTTCTGATAACTTTTGATACGGATTTGATTAATCTGCGAGGAGCAAGGTAAAAAACATGTGTTAAGGGAAAATGTTTCTTATTGTCCAACATATATTCATGTAATAATCTGTTTTAGAAAATTGGGTAAGTACGGTATTAATATATCTCAGTAGAGGAGTTACAATTCAACAGAGGGAAGGGAGAAGCTAACAGGAGGCCTGTAGACAGATATAGTGAGATGCCAACTAGGCAAGGTTGCAAAGATATGGAAATACAGGAGTCATCATAACACTAGAGATGGCAAAAGGTTTAGGACAAGATAATGTAGAGACACCAGTTGTGGGACAACGGTCTCATGATTGTGTGTTGTAGATGCAAGGAGACAGAACGGCAGGGCCAGCAAGATGTGTTCAGCCGACCAGACTGAGCCAGTTAGCTTAGCATCAACAACCAGATAGAGGGGCAAGTGAAGGACAAGGAGAAGAACAGTGGGACGAGAGTAGAGAGGAGGAGTTACGTAGTTAGGATTGAAAGGGAGGGCTTTACTCAATCCAATGGTCAACGAAATGTATAAACTAATGTGTTGTATCATCACCTCGTTGGTGTCTTTCCAGAAAGAGCTTGGTTTATTTGAATATTGGTGCTCCAATAAATCTCTGAATCAACTTCATCCGGATCTCCAGTGCGTTCTATGGGTGTGTGTTACTGAAAGTCCATGGTCGTGAGGATGTGTGTCCTCTTCTCGAGTCAGACGGATATAGTCAGTGAGTTAGAGAATACTTAATAATACGTAATAATTAATCCTCAACACAGGTAAGCTCCTGTTACCAGGTGGCGCTATGACTAGCATTCAAAATGATCATATGATGTCCACAGGGTAAGGATGTCGTGACATATGAGAAATATGGAGCACATTAGATAACGTTTGGCCGAGTTAAAAAGCACTGGAATTTTCATGGCGAATTGTAGTAGTTTGCCAATGGACCACGCTCACATAGTTCAATATTGTCTGTATATGATTTCTAAAGACAAAAGGTCTCAAGCTCACACTGTCCAAATCTGAAAAGAATCTGGAGTAATCTTGGAGTTCAATCTTGAATTGAGTATTGTGGAAGTTTGACAAAGTAACTGGACATCCAATAGTGGAGTGACCTTTGTAAAAGTTGAATTCATTCATTCATGTAGTCTTCAGTCTTTTATTTTGACAAAAGGTGAACTTCAGTTTAAACAAAATATTACAACATAAGCACTATATCAGATGGAGTGGAACATCAGTTTGATATATGATCAGCATTACTCACCACAGCAGACACTCTCCCAGTTGACCTCATCTTCATGCAGAGTGTGTGAGTCTGGCTCTTCAGCAGAGGAGCTTTGCGGCCCAGCCTCACGTAGAAGTAGGTGGTGTATGGTGTGAAGCTGAAATCGTCTCTGAAGTCACCACACAGAATTTCATCACAATGTCAGGCAGAGGTTCAACCTGATCCTCTTACAAATCGATCCATTAGAAGCGATCACTTTACAAAACAATATTTACTGTCTATCTACCTGTGTTGGGAAAAATTCTAAATACAGTCGTTTCTGTTTCAAGGCGTATACAAGTAGTTGAGTGATTGACCAGTCCTGTCAAGTTTCGTTTGAGCATACATAGCAACAGGTTCCAGTCAGTTAGAGACAATTCAACTTCTGAGAAAACTCAAGCCAGTCCTGCAAAAGAAAACTGACCAATAAACATCTTGTGCATCATTGAATTCCATTTACGGTCGAATATGGCATCTAATTGATCTCACGGTTTATTTTAGAGGCACAAACAATAAGAGAATATAACAGTATGTTTTTTTCAATAGTAGAGCACTGCTTTGGAAGATGTATGGCACAATTTCCACCATCCTATGGTTAGTATAAACATTCAAGAATTCTAAAAAAAACTTCATTTTGTTATTGGCATCTATAGCTATTTGCAGAAAAGAACAATAGTTATTGTAGACGTGTTGAACAGCTCATTATTCATCTCAATTGTAATATGAATACTTTTATCGGAACACATCTCCAAATACCAGCTATTTCTATCTTTTCTTGAAGATATGTTCTGAATGTGGTGGTGTGCACGCATAGGGCCAATAGCTGAGTAGAGGGAAAGTGCTGAAAAGATTTTAAGCGTAACATGAGGCAATCTGCCAGTTTCTGGAAAGAGAAGGGAAAAATAACATTGGGCTTTGCGACACAAAGTGGCGCAAATGTGAGCATGAATGACAGAAATAACGGAGCATTTTTGGTGCATATACTTCCAGCTTCAGGGACGGGGACGTGTGATCACAGACATGAACGATGCACTAAGAGCTTTGACAGCCAACGTCTGGGAGACTGTGGTGGAGCAAGGAGGGTTTGGTCACTTTTCGTGTTGCAAAACACCATGAAGCCACGTCTCCACCGCTGTGTTCTAAACCGTGTATTGTGCCAATAAACTGGGAGCATTTCACACTAGGGCTGCACGTTATGGCCAATAATCCATATCACGGTATTGAGACGGTATCACGGGTATATCCCGGTATTGCTTTTTCAAATAAAGACATTAATTTATTGACCCCGAAAAGGACCAAGCCGCTCGCTGGCCAACTTGCTCGTCTAACTGGCCGGCGATTTAGCTTGTTATCGTGTTAGCTTCTTGTGGCTGCAGCTGTTCGCCACTCGCCCGGCTACCCAAACAGCTGTTCGTCTCTTTCTGGCCAACCTGCTCGCAACTGGCTGGCGAGTTATCTTGTTAGCTCATTAGCGTGTTAGCTTGTTGTGGCTGCTAGTGTTGCCACCAGAGACTCGACAGACTTCATTCATTTTCTGATCCATGTTTCGTTGGATTTTCCAAAACCAAAAACCCTCCAAACAGACACAGCTCCTCTCTTGGGCACAACTTGTGTTGGTGCATCTCTGGTCTCTCGTTGTTCTTCCAGTATCGCTCTTTTCCATGTTTTCATGTAGCAACAGAGTTACTTCTTGTTGTGAGCTGTACCCAGCATGCAGTTCGGTGGGGGTTTTTTAAAACAAATTTTAATTTTTATAAATGTACAATTATTATTGTTACAAATTGTTTATGTGTCAAGCTGTGTGTTGTGGTGTTAAAGAGTGTTTGTTGTGGGTTATTCATTGTTGTTATAACCATTACTCAATGTCAACACACATAAGACAAGTAGCTCCGGCCTCTGCTCGCTCTGTGATGACGTGTAAAAATAAATTCTGCCGCCTGCATTTGCAGCGGACGTGGAAACAGCACCAGTGAGCGTTATGGAGCTGATTTGGAGTTTCAGAGTTATGACACACTCTATCTAGGCACAGTCTATAACTCTGTGGCCACTGCAGTTTCGAAGCTTTATCTCCAAAACAATGCTTCAACGTTGCCTTCATGCTGCTCAGATCTATGCCTGTTAGGAAGCACATAACTGAGCAACCTTTCTCTGGGGGGGATACTAAGACACTTTCCGTATGAACAATATTGAATTATATTAAGGTTAAAGACTGCGATAGTTTTTGCCTTTGAAAAAAAAAGAAAAAACAGGAAAGGATAACGAGTCTGAGGTACCTGAGGTATCCCTGCAGCAGCATCGTCACAACCATAGCTTCAGCCTGCAGCCGACACAGGGTGGTGGTCTGGATCATCTTCCTGCGCTTTGCTGGGCCTTTGCCCATCCATGTGTCCACCAGCTTTAAAGGAGTTAGCTTCTCATCCACCGACGCCGCCAGCTCGACAATTTTTACCACCTGCTTGGCATGCTCGGTAATGTCCACAGTGGTGTAGTCTGGATTGATAGAGGTGGGAAGTTGGCTTTCCACACCACCAAAGAACACATGCAACCATAAATTCTATTAAAAAGCCACACAGATACCTTTTACACGGCGGCAAGTATCACACATCTGGTTGCATCCTTCATCGTCCCACACCTCATCAAAATGAACAGCCATGAGAGAGCGCCGACACCTTCATGTAGCAAACACGAGACAGTCAAGTCAATGTGCGTAAGCCATCCTCTCTGACTCTGACATACTGAGAACCTGCTACCTGTCAACATTCTGGCAGTAGTCTACGATCTGCAGCAGCTTCTGCTGACCAATGTTCTCCATCACCACCATGGTGCTAATCCTGAAGATGTCAGAGAAGCCAAAGTAGAGGATGCAATCTGCTTGACTGTCGTCTCGACCTGTAGGTCCACAGACGGCTATTTACTTAGTTGTACCAACATAAAATAGTATTCTGTCCCAAGAAAAGTTAATCGGCGTGTACCTGCTCGTCCACTCTCTTGATAGTAGTTCTCGATGGACTTACTGATGGTATGGTGGATGACAAACCTGACGTCGGGCTTGTCGATGCCCATGCCGAACGCCACTGTGGCTACCACCACCTATAGGACAACACAATCACAAACTGGAACTTGATGGCAGCAGCACATACAGCTCAATTTAATCAAATACAAGGTGAACAAGACGCGGCCCATTATTTAACATCGGTGGGTTGTCAACATTGCCATAGACCCTTCCCGATGGGGACAGTCACAAAATTGGCAGCAGCTAAGAAGAGTACAAATAAACTTGATTAATAATAAAACAGTAGTGGTTCTACATAGTCTGTAGCTACTATTGGAAACACTGGAATAGCAATATTGGTGATGGCTACATCACACGTCCAGAAATTGACCACTGGGCAAATGGTGTTGATAAAATATATAGGAGAAACCGAGAACTGAACCATTTCAGTGGTCAGACCAAAGAACTTTAAAAAGAACGTTAAATTGAATGTCAAAAGTGAGAAATACATACATAAGATACAAACATAAAAGGAAGTAGTAATAATAGTAATCAAATACCTGAATTTTGTTCAAGGTCCATTTGCAGTGGACATGGGACTTGACATCAGGGTCCATGTGGGCGTGGTAGGGGAAGGCCAGGATGTCCTCTTTCTGGAGCGAAGATGACACATTCTCTGCATCCTTCTGAGAGAACACATACACGATTCCTGTGGCACACATAATGAATTATGGAAAAGGACTTCTCCATATATGAACATAAATACACACACTTATTTTTATTGGCCTCAGCATGATGCGGTTTTGCCGCAGTACCTGACTGATCCTTGTATCGGTTCTTGATCAGAGAGGCAATGTCACTTATTGATGCATCATAGTTAGAATCTTTAATACGAACCTAAGAAACAAGCAGACTGTTAGTGCCAATGTAAACGTCTCTAGCCAACTGAATTGTTCAATGTATCACATTTTTTTAAGGATTTAGTTAAACATGCAAAACAATATTGCATCTTTAAATTATTTCTTGGTCTGACAGGTGTGGTCAAAAGCATACATTTGTGGTCAAAAGTTTACATACACTTGTAAAGAGGCTCTCTTGAGTTTCCTGTTATTTCTACAATTTCTCTGATAGAGTGATTGGAACAGATACTTCTTTTGTCACAAAAAACATTCATGAAGTTGGTTCTTTTATGACTTTATTATGGGTTAACAGAAAAAGTGATAAAGTCAAAGAAGTATCCAATCACTCTATGAGAGAAATTGTAGAAATAACGGGAAACTCAAGAGTCATGACATTATGATCTTTACAAGTGTATGTAAACTTTTGACCACAACTGTACAAGAGTCTTTGATCAAGAGATATATTTGGCACGTTTGTGTGTCAAAGTGTGAAGTTGCCATGGTTACCACCTCGTAGTAGAGATTGGCCCGGTTAAAGGACGCAGACAGCGTCACTGGGTGTGGCACACATAAGATGTTCTCACAGTCCTTCAGGACGCTTCCGGTTGCTGTGGCTGTGAGTCCTAGCAGGGGCACTTTGGGGAACTGCCTCTTCAGGATGCCCAGCTGTTTAAAATCTGCACACCAACACGCCTTCATCAATCTTGTATACATATAAGAGAGTCCTGCTAACATCTCATTTGTTTTTTTTACTTCAAATGACCAATGTATGCTGTTAACAGTTTACAGGAAGGGGTATTCAACTATGTAAAAAGCAAAAGTCCAGAAGATCATAATGTGACAATTTAGTTTGATTAAATAGAGGGATAGAGTTGTAGCAACATTTACATTGAATCAATACACAACTAACAGAAATAATTTCAGTACGATTCAAATACTTACAATTGACAATATTTTTCATGTAACGAAGAAATGAAAATGACTGGAAATGTAAATAATGTTCTCTCAATAACTTAATAAAAGTAGGGCTGCATTTCAAAATGAATAAATAAAAGCTTCTGCCCAGCTATGTCTGGGCAGAAGTTAGATTTCTTTGTTTTGATGTTCGCTGCATTGTTTAACGAGCAATTGTGTAGGTTTATGAACGCGTGACGTGATAGTTAACCGCTATCGTGTCTCACTGAGGCGGATGAGATCCGCTTTCCTTAGTCTTTTCTTCTTTTTTTTTTGATTTATCGTTTACTAACCAATACACCTGTCCCTCCACACATATGTGCGTTCACACCAAAAGCGAAGCGAATTTTCGCCATGCTTTACACGCCGGACTAGTTGTAGTTATTTCTCTTAATTCGCATGCCGCTTTATTCGCCGCCTGAAAGGGGGCGTGGCTTATCTCTGTAAGACCCGGAAGTGTATATATTAGTCAATTGGAATTTTGGGACTATTAATCATTTAGTTTTTGACTTATGCTCATTGTGCAGTAACTACAGATATGTAACATGTATTGAAAGCATTTATGTTAGATTGAAGGTCCTTGTTTGTCTCGATGTATTGACGTCATGATTGCAGCAGGTACAACTAGGGTGGCCATTTGGTACACGCGGGTGGTAAGGTGAACGAACAAATCTTCTTCGAGTCATTTGTTGACGGGGGGGGGGGGGGGGGGCGGGTGGTAAGGTGAATGAACAAATCTTTCTTCGAGTCATTTGTTGACGGGGGGGGGGGGGGGGGGATATTACCGACCGTTCAGTAAAAAATGTAACCAATGACATTACTTATTTTGACACACATTTTTAGCCAATACGTATTAAACTAATGAGGTAATGTGTCAAAAGGCGGACCTTTTTAGTTATTTTCTCAAAGGACAAACAAGTGTCCGGCTTAAGGCTGCGCCTGCAGCCGGACAGGGCATTTAAAAGCCGGACTGTCCGGCCTAAAGCTGGACGAATGGCCACCCTAGGTACAACACAGAAGAGCTGCATTAAGTACAAAAGCATTTCGTTTTTGTACCGTGTGACACAATTAATTATTTGTATATTTTCTGCGTGAAATAAAGAAAAAACAGTATCAAACCTGTCATTCGCGTTATGAAATTAAGTCCCGGTGTCCGCATCTCAATGACAAACACGTAAAGAACGCCGCGATACCCTCAGTTTAAATCTTTGGGGGTAGTAGTATATGGGGGAAACCGACAAGTGGGAGTCGCTCGCACCAGAGGACGGAGACCGAACGTTGATGTCACATAGGCAGCCGGTAGCCAAAGAGAGACGTGCTGCTTGACATAGCAGTTGCCCCTGATGGGGTTGCTGTGGTAGCTTTGGTAGCAGCAGCACTGTGATGTCTGCTTCCTTTAGCATTGCTTGTTAATGCCGCTCTCCCATGCTTGAAATGTCAAAGCAAATTGTAAATTGGCTTATTTGAGGAAAATTGCACTTTCTTGTTTCTTGCTCCTCTGAGTTTGTATCCCTATGGTTGAATGCACTTATTGTAAGTCGCTTTGGATAAAAGCGTCAACTAAATGACATGTAATGTTATGTTGAAAGCTTTAACACCACACATACATTATGCTCGTCCTGGGTCTTTGTCCGTCTCAACCTGTGACATGTACTTTTCCATACGTAGCCAACCATGGTTAAATGTGAACTTCCCTGGCATAGTGGATGATCTTGCATGCTACGATGAGCTACTGTTATGGGTGGCTATGGCCACCCAACTTTTCAGTAAAGGTGCGTTCACACGACCGCGGTGCGAATTATTGGTGCTGCGGGTATGAGAGCGTGTGCCTGCTTATATTTTGAACGTCTCACTTTTAAAAGCATATGAATTATTTAAAGATCATGCATGTCCACAGATCTCACCTGGCCTGAAGTCATGTCCCCACTGACTGCAGCAGTGAACCTCGTCCACAGCAATCCGACTCAGGAGGTCTGCGTTATGGGCTTTCTCTAAACGAGACATGAGCAGCTTGCTCTTGGCGATTCGCTCTGGAGTAACGTAAAGCAGCTTGAAGGGACCATTGGGATCAGTCATCCCAGCCATAACGTTCTTGGCGTGCTCCTATATAATGATACATTTTCACACAATGAAAACTGATATCACATAAAAACAATCATATTCATTCAAATGTCATTTAGAAAAACACAATTTTGACAAACCAAAACCAAATGAGTTTAGGGTTAGTTTGTTTCCTTCATTGTGTGTGGACTTTAACTCCCTACACAATTCATCTCAAATAGGGGCCATTACTCGGTGCATATGTAAATGTATAAAATGTATTTTGAATTGTTTGATCTGTAATTACCTAGATTTTTTTAGACACAACTGGGATTGCAAAGAACATTTTCCATGGGAAGCTAAGCGCTGGAATTTTTACCATTTTCTTTTTCAAAAGCATATAACAGGGAACAAGACTATGCAGGCCTAGCTCAGGTAGACCCTGGATGCAGCTAGTTGGGAACGTTGTCTGACATAAACAAAGGTAAAATTGTTATTTTTGAATTGTCATTACCTAGCATATTGATTACTTGGTAAACTAATATTCATACCAAGTTTGTTTGTATACAGACGGCTAACCTTTAACCTCAGTGAGAGTAGGACGTATGTATGTCCACACAAAAGTACACCTCGCATCATCCCCGTCGGCCGGTCCTTCAGGCAAACCTTTTAATTTCCGCTTACGCACATGCCTCAAAGGCTCTAAACTTTGAAAGCAATTGAGACTAAGCAATAAAAGAACAGTAGGATACCTGAGAAATGTATTTAGCTACCATATAGTTCGGAAGAAACATCAAGACAACCCACTAGTAGAAAGACATCTCCTGTTTGACTGCAGGTCTATATATCAGCACAAACTACGTAAAGCAATTTATTGTATATTATGTTTAGTGTGTATTACGGTTTTATTAACTTATTTACATTGTGCCGAAACAAGTGTGAAATTACTTTTGTGTCAAACAGTGGCGTAAGAAGAGATCAACAGACTGAAAGGTGAGCTTAATGCTGCGTTCACACCAAAAGCATTTTCGCCTTAGTTTACTCGCCCGACTAGTTAGTTATAGTGCGTCTGGATGACTGCTGCTTCCAGTGCTGCTTCTGGCTGACCAGCAGCCGGTCTGATGACCTGTTGTGTCGGCTCGGTGCCGGCGTCTCTCTGTTAGACACAACTAACTTACAGGCGTTCAGTCTCAGCTGTGTGTGTGTGTGTCTCTGGCAGTTTAATAAAGTGTATTCACACTGTGGCAGCAGGACGGGACTGATGACGAGCGGAGCATCTCAACGCAAATTGGCTTTCGCAAGACAGCCGCGTCTGTACATCGACTTTGCATAGAATCTACTCGCGCAAAAAATTTGCTTCGCTTTTGGTGTGATCGCAGCATAAGGGAATAAATAAGCACAATATAAGGTTACCTTGGTACTGGACGCATTGAGCATGACTGCTGGCACATTGATGGATTTCAGGGACATTATCTGATCCTCCATCAGGGACACCAAGGGACTGACAACCAATGTAAAACCTGACAAGAGCATGTGATGTGATTACACGTGCGTCCAAACGAATGACCTTACAAGTGGTGTACCAACATGACCAGTGTGAGGACAGGGATTCAGATCCAACACTGCATATATTTGTTGGTGTACCTTTAGAGCAGAGGGCAGGCAGCTGGTAGCAAAGGCTTTTTCCTCTTCCTGTGGGCATCACCAGGAAGAGATCTCTGCCTGACAGAGTCAGGTTGATGGCCTTCAGCTGCAGAGATCTGAACGTGGAGAGATGGAACGGGTCCTTTAGGTGCTGTTCTACTTCTTTGAACCATGGAAAATCTACCAAACATCAAAAGATTGTTAAAGGTCAACATACAACATTAGCGTCTCTGAAGCAGCTCTCTCATATGAACTCTGGACTTGATTGTCTGGAGAGACATGTAGCACTCAATAGAATTATCCTTTGTTTATGGTGCACATAAACACAGCGTTATGTAGCCAGTTCTATCTTTGTTCATAAACAACAAAGTCCCTTGATTCTCCTCAAATACGTTTTGGACTTTTTCTGATCAATTCTGCAAACATGGGTCCCTAAATCTCACGTTATTGCAGCACTAAATTTGCAGATATGTGTAAATGACTGTTCTAGGCAGCTGGCGAGGTAAAGATTGTTTAAACTGAGTAAGAAGTTTGCGTTCTCATATACAGTTCCTCCAGGTCAGGGGTGCCCACCTGCTGAAGCAGCATTCCAACAATAATGAGTAGTAGCGGTAACCAAACGGAACAACAACGCTGCATACCGTGCAGTGTTAATTTTGGCAGCTATTTTTGATTTAGTCTTAGTCTTTAGACGAAAATGCATCTTAGTTTTAGTCACATTTAGTCATTTTAATACTTTAGTTTTAGTCGACGAAAACTAGACTAAAATGTAATAAGTTTTAGTCACATTTAATCTACAACTTGTCTACAAGTGCATAACAGTCTAGCTTGCAGTACTTGGTTGTCCATTAGATGTCCCTCCTAGGACAGGTCTATAGCAGGGGTCGGCAAACTTTTGACTCGCGGGCCACAATGGGTTGTAAAATTTGAAGGAGGAAATGGAAGACCAGGGACCTAAACGCTTTGTTGTCTTTGTCTGTTTGCTTGCAATGCTTTTGACATGGCCACCGGAAACTTCATGGTCCTTTATTGTTTTCACGGTGAAATTGCTTGTCCCAACTAAAGAGACCCCTTAACGTCCTACAATTGTTGCAATACATTATTTTCTTGGCTGCATCATAAACCAGCCATTCTAAACGGGACCCCCACTTTTCATTCAACAGTCTTTTCTTTCTCTTTGTTTATTTTTTGGTTTCATGACCAGTTCTTCTCTCTTGTGTCCTGCGGGTTTTCCTCCACCTGCTCTGTGCCGCCACGTCCTTCACCTGCACTGCGCAGTTCTATCAAAAGGATCCACCTGTCACGTGTGCGCGCCTCTATGTTGCTTAGTAACGAACGTACGGTGGCCGAGACGGTTTAACACCGTCTTCTCACAATGTGGCGCGTGAACTATAGTTGAAATGCGTGTGTCTCAATGCGTGAGGCTTCAGAACCTGCAAATGAGTTTATTATGTTAGACGTGTTTGGAGAAGCCTGTGACGGACCGTTTCATCCAGCCGAGGAAACGCTGCCTGCCGTCGCCAGAGAACAGAGCAGAAAGGTCTGCGTGGATCTCTGCTGGCCGACTGTCTGTTAAACGGGTCTTCATGTTTCTCTGAAGCACTGCGGCTTCAGCCTGCTAAGTCAGCTAAACCGAGACAGCTGAACTAAACGAAGGAAGCGCACGTTCAAACTCGCCGAAGCGTAAAATAGTCATCGCGGTCCGTAGTCGGTGCACAAGAACCACCGCTGCACCGATGTGAGTGAGCGTTCTGGGTTCGTGGACGACGTCATCATGACGCGTTAATATCCGCCGTACTTTGCCTGTCTGTTGCCTGTTAGCTGCATGCGAATTTAGGGGGGAAAAAAGTATTGTGACTTTGTCAACCACCAACATTTTCGTCTGGTCTCGTCTCGTTAGAATAGATTTAGTCATAGTTTTTATTTTTTAAGATTGTTTTTGTCACGTCTTAGTCTCGTCTTAGTCATGGAAAAAAGGTCATTAATGAACATTTTTCGTCATAGTTTTCGTCGACGAAATTAACACTGATACCGTGAAATCACATCGATATTAAAAAAAACAACGAACCTCTCATCTGCCAGAAGTGAGGGAACCAATTTTTTTTACAATGGCAGGCCAGGGCTACTGGCACTGCCTTGGCGATCAATCTGTTGGGCACCCCTGCTCTAGGTGATGTGTAACTTATTTCCTGATTGCAGTGCATGTATGAAATGTAAATTGAGTGTAGAGTACCTGTGCCATCATAAAGCTGCAACTCCTGCTTGCTTAGCACTGGATTCGCTCCAGATAATTTTGAGGATGACGGCTGTGCAGCATTACAGGCCTCTTTCAGTCGCTGCAGCAGTGCATCTTTACGACACGTCAGCTCAGCCTGCTTCTGCAGGAGCTCGCAGATCTGCAGCTCTATCAACTCCAGCTCGGCATCCACAGTTTCCAGCTCCGCCTGCGCATCTGAACAGGAGGGAACCAAGCAGAAACAATTTGAGACAGTGACTTGGAGCAAATATGGTTGTTGACATGGGCACGTTATTTCAGTTTAGGTTGTTCCAAAGGATGTAAAACTTTTATGTGGTGTTTTATTAGGAAATCTATTCAAATGTTCTTGACTTAAAAAAAGTGAAATACATGTTAATCAGTGTGATAATCTATGATTTTGATCCATGAATCCAGTATAGTGTTCACTACAAACTAAATATTTGCAGCTACACTGTGAATGAAATTCAGGTAAAGACACGGTTTTATAAATCCGGTGATACTGAGGTGTCCTTGAAAAGATGGATATCCTTAACTTAACTGACCACAGTATGCATACAAGACTCAACTTCAGAATCCTTGGAAAATCCTTTCATATTCCCAGACCGTGTAGACATTACGACACAACTCTCCAATTACAAGCTGCTGTTTGAAAAACGTTCATTTTTTATCCATGATGGTTACGGATTATAAATAAGCAAAAAATAATAAACAATTTAGGCTTTGAAAGCATTTTTACTGAGCTGCCGTCTCATCTTCACCATGTTGAGAGACAATCAAAATTCTATTTAATTCTCAGATCGTGCACTTTTAATATGACTCAGAAGGATGTCTCATTTGTTAAATGCACGTTGTCATTAATAATAATAATAATTAGGTACATAATTAAAACAATGTGATTTTAGAATTTTACTGAAACTCTGACAGGCATCTGTCAATACCTGGCATTGGTATTGATTGTCATTTTTTTAATTGGTTTAGAAAATGGGGACAGACAGCGGGGTGTTTATAGTCACGCAGGCTCTCTCATTAGGTATCTATCTTATTCCTTCTCAATGTACCCCGCCAGTGTCCCTATAGAGCTGCAACAGGGTGTGGTCTGCAATCAGTCCCCATGAGGTCATCCCTCTTAAAAGAAGATCTGGTGGACTATCCCATAGAAATCCGTCAATGTTGACATTTTAGCACATTTGGTTCCATTTTTATGCAAATAAAGCTGACTTGGGAAGAACAGACCTACCATTAGTTCTGCCACCTTCATCCATAATTCTCCGACTGATTTGCTGGGAAAGCAGCCAACCTTTGGAGGTGTAGATATCATCCACTGACAGAAAGAAAGGAATATTCAATGAATTAATTTTATTTTGACCTTTCATTCCCTTTCAAAAACCACCAGCTTAGTGTGTTTGTAACTACGATCGGTTTGCTGAGAGGGGCACACACTGATTTGGTTATTGCTTATAGGCTATTAGCCTATTCATTTTTTAGGGGTTTACTTTCAGAGGGGATGTTTACACACACATTCGGCATTTATACTGGAACATTTATATTCTAATTTTCTATCACAGAGAGCTTACCTATTAAAACGCAGTGGGACCAGAACATAGCGACATCCAACTACTTCTCGTGAGCAAATACTAATAAAAGGTTACACAGTCGTATGCAACTTTTGGTCTAGATATAGCTGACTGCAACTAACGCTATGTAACTTGTAAATAACATACTTAACCAAACCACGTGAGTTCAAGACGCTGTTTCATCGTAGGGCAGCAAGTAGCTAACGTTATCTTACTGTGGCTAAGTTGGGTATCACTAAACGCTGACACTATACAGTTCCGCTACTTAAAAGTGCCTAAATTATGTTCTGTTTTTAAGCGTTTGGGACGACTTTAAATAAGAATTAAATACAAATCACCAACCATTCAGCTGCTCAGTCTCGGCCTCGGTTTTTTGTTGTGGACCTCGATTCAGGGTTGCTGTAGCAGAAGAAGTCTCTTCGCAGGTTGCCTAACGCCAACGCCCCCACCTTAAACTGAGAGATTGTCACACTTTATCGCCTATGGCTCGTGCTATAATGTATTTAATTAAGACAACATATGCATATGTTTGATTTATAACCAGAGAGTAAGGCGTTTAAGCAAAGTTGCCATATTGCATGCAAACATGGTGCTAAACCGGAAGTGTACATGACAACACAGTGTATTTCCCGAAGACGTGGTTGTTGTTACAGGGGCAGCTGACATCCAAATTATTTGTATAGGTGTACTTGAAAGATAATTTATCTTCACACGTTTATTTGGCATCAAGATGTAAGATAACTAGTAATTGTTATCACTATTATGTTATTCACTGCGGTCAACTCGACACTCGGATTTCCGTGGTCAACTCAGCCGGCGCTTGAATTTTAGTGCACGTGTATGCTGACATTTACGGTATTAAACACGTAACCGGAAAAAGGGCTATTTAAATAGCAAATTCCGGACTATGATAGAACTATGTGTGTACAGCACTACTCGTGTACAATAAAATAAATATTTGTACAGTACAAATTTGGTTTTTGAAGTTGCAAAAATAGGGCTTTTACTTTGAAGAAATCTCCAAATCTGCACAGTAAAAATGTTTGATATTCAGCATGGTAGTAGTCAGCGAGGTCCTTAACACGGGTATATTGGTCTTGGCCTGGAACTATTGACAGATTTCTTTTTATTGAAGTAGAAACCTTGAGAAATGGTGCTGCCCCACGACCCGACCCCGGATAAGCGGTTGAAGATGGATGGATGGATGGAGTAAGGGGCTGACCCAGTCACCTTGGTATTTCTGCATCTAAATGGTTACAAACCTGGCTGGATGTCATCTCTGTTCATGCCTTGAGTGAATATCCTTCATCTCTGTCATCTCTCTGTTGAGAGTTATGCATTCCCAGAACTATGCAAGACAATTTCTGCACTATTATTAATTAAGGGGTTGGAAAGTTGAGTATTTACCGTCCCACAGACTCACGCAGGCCGTCTCACACACTTTCTAACAGACTGTACATTTGTGTACAATGTTGAGAGTAGAGAAGTAGATCTTGTGGAAAGATCTGGGCCAGTATCCCTAAAGATTCTGAGAATCCTCTCAGAGAGCTCCTAACTTAACCTAAAAATTAAGTTAAACTGAGTTTTAGCTCAGAAGTGATTCCAGAACATTTTCAGTGAACTCTGAGCAAGGAATGGATGGAAAATCCTATCTTAGTGAGGAGGTGTGGTTGACCCCGTTGCTAGGTATGAGTCATCATTTCAAAAGCCGTGATTGGTTGATCCTACAAGTTTGATGAAAATGAACTTTTGGTGATAATGAGAAAAGGATGTACCCTCAAATCAATAAACATAATTATACACTCTAATGTTATGCAGACTGTAATTGTAAATAATATTTCACATTCAAGAAAATATCTGAAAAATGAATAGTAAGCTGTAGGGTTTATAGCATAACATTAGAATATAAAATATGTGAAAACTTAAGCTCATTACACCCTGTTCAAATAATGATTTGTGTCTTATTTGCTCATATTAATATCCTAGCTGGCATATTTTGTACTTTCACTCCCATATGGACCCCATTGCAATCGTCGCCTGAGCATGTGCACGGTCGTCCTCCGATCAGAGGGTTGTGGGTTCGATCCCAGGCCTGGCTAACCCGCATGTCGTTGTGTCCTTGGGCAAGACACTTAACCCAACATGGCTCCTGTAGCTGCGACTACAGTGTGTGGATGGTAGTTACTGATGGCAGGTGTCACTGTCTATGGTTCTCCTGTCATCAGTGTATGAATGGGTGTGAATGGGTGAATGATGTCATGTAGTGGTAAAGCGCTTTGAGTGGTCAGAAGACTAGAAAAGCGCTATACAAGTACAATCCATTTACCATTTACCATTACCATTGAAAACAAGATGACCTATCTCAAGCGGCTGTCCTTAATGAAGTAGAAATTGCAACGTTACAACTCAGTGTGGTCTTAACGAGGGTAAGACGGCTCAGCTTTTATCAATGTCTGTGATTGCTTGCTGGTCTATTTATGAAGGCTTGTTAACAAATATCCTACAAACACAGAAAATGGAGAAAAAAAGGAATCGCAAGCCAAACTGGACTGAGGAGCAAGGTTTGTTGCTGGCCCAGTTGGTGAACGAACATAAAGGTATGTTACGAGGAAAATTTGGCCCAACTGTCACCAGCCAAGGCAAGAGGCGCGCCTGGGACACAATATCCCAAACAATCAATGCCTCTTTTCCACTGGTGGTGCGGACAGGCGACGATTGTGAGAAAAGGTGGCATGTGCTGCAGTCCAAGACAAAAGATGAGATTGCAGCACACAAGCGGGAATCCTCACTCAAAGGATGAGCAAAATACTATAGCCTACCACATAATCTGGCAACTTGCTCCTGCTGGCAAAGTTAATTTACATGCCTAAGTTCATTGACTGTTTCTTTCTAGGGGGTGGACCACCTGCAAAGCGGCTGTCCCAAGTGGCCGACACTGTCTTTCAAGTCCTGGGACACTCTGAGGTCAGTGTCACCGGGCTGCCAACAGGCATTGACACGTCAATGATGCAGGCCCTTGAAATGCAGCAAAGGTAGGACACAGGGTTATTCATATCAACAGTGTTTATTCATTGCAGAAGCCATTTCATGTGTTATCCATGCTCATTGTATTAAATTAATTTGATCAAAACAATAATTAAACTAGGCATATGTATTTATGTAGCATGGAGCCATCACAAGAACTGGGCCCATCAAGTTTGCTGACAAGATTGCCGCCTGAACCACCTGCAGCTGCTACTCAGGATAGCCCGGCGGATCAAACACCATTCCCATCCGCAGCACCTGCTCCGTCAGCATCCCTGCAGGAGGGAAGATTGATGTGTTTGAACAACAAAAAAAAGTCCTTTCCCTTCAGGAGGAGTACTACTGCCTTAAAATTGAACACCTAAAAAAGAAATCATTTAGAGATTGTGTTCTGTGTCTTGCATTTAACAATTGCAGGTGATGTGCAGTAAAACTGTGGTAGTTCTTAATACCATCACAAGTTCTCAAATGACATGGGGCTACAGCTTGCCTGAAATGTAAATTTGTGAAGTTTGCCCTGTAAGGCAGTCACTAGGTTCCCCTGTGGAATGTGAATATCTTCTTCACCACCATCCTCATCGTTGTCTTCATCCTCATCCTCATCGCCATCCTCCAGAGTTTCTGCAATCTGTCTAACCTTGCAAATATTGTGTAATATTGCACAGGCTATGATGACTTTGCTGACTTTTTCAGGCCTCAGCCGCACCTCTCCGTGGAGAACATGAAAGCGCCTCTTAAGCTGGCCTATGCCACGCTCCACCACCGCTCTTGTTGTCTTGTGGGCCCTACAATAGAATACAGACCTTTAATTATTTGATGGAAATATTGCACTACTTGGATGCTCTAACATATTGCTTGCATTTCATTTCCATGATTTTTGTATTGTTTGGCTTACCTGTTATAATTTCGTTGGGGCCCTTGGCGTGGCTGGAGGTAAGGTGTAAGGAGCCATGGTTTGCATGGGTAGCCACTTTCCCCTAACAAGTGGCAATTAGCCGGCACATAGCGTCTCTCAAAAAGCTGTCTGATGCCACTCTCGGAGAGCATTCTCGCATCATGTGTGGAGCCTGGCCATTTAGCCACAATGTCCAAAATCTTACAGGCCGCATTGAACACTATTTGCACATTGATGCTGTGGAAATTCTTCCTGTTAACAAAGACAGCCTCGTCCTCTGATGGCGCAATTATTCTCACATGTGTTCCATCAATTACACCCACAACGCCAGGGAATCCTGCAATGTCCATAAATGCCCTTTTATGTGCTGCGGGCATCCTGCGGGAATAAAACAAATTATGTCACAATATTAGGTTGCGACAAAGCTGTCAGTGTTTGGGTGACTCTGCTGTTGACGGAGGATTGGAACAGACCCACGTCATCACTGCTGCATTGTTGCATTTTCCCTGTTGCCAAATACCTCAGGGTTGTGATTTCTTTCTTCTCCGGTGTAATAGCGTTGTGGCGTCGAGTTGGTGAAGTAATTGCATCTCTAAGGAGATCCACCACAAACATGATTCCTGCACGATCCAATCTGTAGCGTCTCAATAATTCCCTGTCATCCAGTGTTTGCAGGACATCTCTCCGGCCATTTTGTGCAGCTGCTTAGGGGAACTCCTAAGCCACTAAAAGTCCTCTTCCCTGCTCTTAGCAGATCTCGCCTTAGGAGCCCTTTTAAGCACTAGGAATCTTGAGGAATAGCTTTTATATTAACTGGGATTTTTGTGTCACTTTTAGGGGAAATTCTAAGAAAACGTCATGACTCTGAGAATTTTCTTAGAATTTGGCCGCTAGGAGCCACTTTTTGGACAAAAATTCTTTAGGGATACGGGCCCAGGTCCCATACCCAGGCGATGGTGCCAATGATGTGGATACGCAATCGGTGAAGTCTGACTCATCTTCCACTTGCCCTACGCATTACTGCAGAGGCAGAGGTAACATATTTAATGGCCAAAGTTGCAAAATTGCAAGAAAAGCATGACATTGAAGAGCGAGAACAAAGAAGAGAAACATCGTTCTCAAGTTGTCATACAACCTCAGGGAAAGGTGGCGAAACAAGGCTTATGAGTTGAGAGAAGAGCGCAATCACAGAATTATCATTTGAGATCTTTTATGTTTTATTGAAAAACAAGCTTGCATAGCAGGGGACCCACTCTTCGGTGACCTCCAAGATCAGTTAGCAAGTAGAGCGAAGCCTAGATCCCCTGACAAGTCACAGGTCTCAAAGTTACGTGGCAGTAGTTTCGCCACAAGTGTTGCTGTTGCCGAAAGGACAAATGAGACTGAACCACTATGTCCCCTTTGTAAATATAAACACACATTGGACTTGTGTACACGCTTCTTAAAGCGCACACATAGAAACAAGCCCAGCTTACTAAAAACCAAGGGCATATGCTCTGGTTGTCTCTCCACGGGACACATCAGAAGAGACTGCAAAAGGCGTCTAACCTGTAAAGTCTGCAAGCAAGCTCACCCAAGTGCCCTGCACATAAATAGTAAGCATAGTGACAGTTCCTCAAAGAGGAACTGTCACGGTGTGGTTCACTTCCTGTCTTATTTTGTAGTTTTCTGCCACTCGTGTCCCCGGGTAACTTCACTTCTTGCCTTGTCCTGTCATCCCCTGTGAAGATTTATAAGCATGTCAATGTATATATGTAGGTCACTTAAATCATTACTTTATCACTATTGAACCCGTCACTGTTGAATGCATCTGGAATGAACATACAGGATGCAAGACTGCGTATACGTGACTTTCCTTTGAACAAACCACTGACAAGGATGAGAAGTGGACGACCGCATGCCATTTTTCCACATTTGTGTGTCTGTTCGTAGACGTCATAAGAACAAAAACTTTAAATACCCAACCGTTTATCTCATAGAAGATTTTCTGACACTTTCTCCTACTGCTATTTGAAATCCAAGTGTATATATTGTAAAATGTTCCTTTTGTTAAATTTAATTTCTGTTTGCGGTTGGCTAATGAATATGAATGTTTGATTTAATTCATGAATGGTGAGGTGCTATGGGATTATACTAATATTTGTTACTATTATTACAACTACTACAAACCACCAACCTTGCGGTTCCCGGCGCACTCGTCTTCTGCTGATTCATGCCTTGAGTGAATATCCTTTAACTCTCTCTTGAGCTTTAGACCCCGTGCAGACGGACTCTAGTTTGCCTGAACCCGGGTTCATTTTTCACACCTACCCACTTTTTAAATCGCGGGCACATGAACCCAGTGAATCCGATTGACTCCGCTGTAGTACATCCCCCACGCCTGTTGGTGGCGCTTTAAGGTGCTACAAACAACTGAAGAAAACGGAAGGAGAAGAGATATGCGCGCCGTATACAAACGAAAAGAATTTACGATAATCCCGTAGTACGCATTGTAGACTTGTTTATCACATTCAGCAGGCACATTATCCTTGCATCGCCATTGTTGTCGTTGTTATGAAGTGACGCATTGGGGTTAATAAGGGTTCATTGTGCAACATGTCCTGAAGGTCGTGGTCATCAATGGGGGTGCAACAAAGAAAGATCTGTTGATCGTTACTTGGGTTTGGTAATTAGATGCAAATGTAGCATGTGTAAAGATTACTAACAAAGACTAAGTACATATAATGTCTAAGGAAATGATTTGCAAGTACAATTTATTTGAATATTTTGGATGAAAAACAATTCTTACCAGTAAGTAAACTTAGCTTGATAATTCCTGAGTGAAAATTACTTAAAATTTCTGTGTGGAAATTGTTACCTAGCTTTTTTTCAAGTAAACTATGTCTAAATCTAAATCTTAATGTTCATACAAAACAAACAACTGGACAAAAATATACTGACAACAGGTAAAGATAAAATATCCAAACATTTTGCAGGCTGGTAAGTTTGCAAAAGGTGTAGAAATTACCTGCTCACATATTTTATCTAAATTGATTTGATGATTTTAGCAGTTAAAAAGGCTCATTTGTCTGGCACTGTGGAGGGGGAGGGTGGGTAATAAAGATGTGTGCAAAGGACGTCAGTACCAAATACACACTTCTGACAGTACGGTAAATAGTGGCCTTTATTTACAGTTTCGTATGGGGAGCCGTTTGTAAAATGCTGCACGTTTTAAAATCCTGCGAAGTTTTGGTACATTTAGCATTTTTATATGAAAAAAAAGCACGACGATATTCATATGTCCCTTTTTCAAACATTCATGCAATAAATTTTCCCCGGATAAGGTTTGGCAGTGACACAAAGTTGAAAAATAATAGTATAAATCTAAATGTTAAATGTAAATCTAAATGTTACATGTAAATGTTAAATGTTCACTCTACATATGAGACGACTGGTTGGGTTGCGCAATGATCTCCGTCCGTGCAAAAGTACAGCACTCTTGATTGGGAGCTCCTTGGCCTCTTTCTGGCCATTCGCCATTTCCGGTTCCTGCTGGAGGGTGAGTAATTCACCACGTTTGTGGACCACAAGTCACTGACGTTCGCCATGGGGAGGAGCGCCGAGCCATGGTCCGCACGCCAGCAGCGGCAGCTCTGTTTCATCTCGAAATTTACCACAGACCTGTGGCATATAGCGAGCAAGGAAAACCCTGTTGCAGACAGTCTCTCAAGGGCCATCAGAGGGGCTGCCCAGTTAGGATTAGACTACGATAAAATAGCTGGGGATCAAGTTACAGACCGGGGCGTGCAGGAATTGAGGATGACTGTTACAGGACTGCGTTTGGAGGCGGTCCCACTTGGCAAAATAGGCACAACGCTACTATGTGATGTCTCCACAGGCCAGCCACGTCCGATTGTTCCCAAGGAATGGAGATAACAGGTTTTCGAAGTTCATCTGGCACTGGCTGAAAAAGGATGTACAAAAGTGGGGCGGGACTTGTGTGGTGAGCCAGCGCTGCAAGATCCACCGGCACTCACAAGCTACTTTTCACTCAAAGTTTCACTTTTCAATCCAAGTCATGGCGATCTACCCCCTCTCCCACTCGGGCAGTTCACCCGCAAAAATAATACGGAACAACATAACTGTACACCTGTAGCGCAAAACGAATCGATATTAAAAAAAAAAACACAACGAGCCTCTCGCAGTAGGGCCGAGTGCGAAAAGTGGTCGGTGGAAGGTTCCTTTGTCAGGACGGCAGATTCCAGTGGTCTGTGGCAGGTTCCCTTTTCGGAGCGGCAGGTTGCATTGGTCGGTGGTAGGTTCTTCCGGTGGTCGGTGGAAGGATCCTTTTTCAGTGGAGACATGAACTCGCCCCCTCCTCCTCATGCAAATTACATGTTAATGAGTATCTTCACGACCACGCGTTTGCCGTAAATCATTTTTTTCTAACAGGTTATGCAGCATCCCTGTATTGTGCCTGATTCTAACTGATTGAGAATCAGGCACAACACAGGGATGCTGCATAACCATGTGTTACAGTAATGGACTTTTGATACATGTCAGTTTTCAGGCATAGACTGTTATTTCATGTTGGAGACTTGTGTTAACCTACAATATCTATGTGCTTTTTGAAGGATGCATTGAATATGGAAAGAGAGGAGAAGTGCGGGGAATATACAGTGACCCACCTCACCCCGGTTTCTGCAGCCAAATTTACATTACATGTCATTTAGCTGACGCTTTTATCCAAAGCGACTTACATTACACTTTAAACCCACGGCTTTTTCACATTTTGCCCGGGGAGCAATTAGGGGTTAGGTGTCTTGCTCAGGGACACTTCGACTTGAGACATGGGGCAGCCGGGACTTGAAACACCAACCTTGCGGTTCCCAGCGCACCCGCTCTACCCCCTGTGCCACGACGACCCCAATTTGCACATGGAATGCAGAATAATCGTTTTTGGAAGAAAAAAGAACACAACAAATATTTGATACAGTTTAGACAAGAGGCGTTTCCTTGTTTTACACACAGACATATTAGTTAATGTTATAATATTGACAATCAAATATTAGACAATTATTAATTGAAATGTATACACTGACCCCTCCTGGCGGGAAAGGGACACTGCGACTGAAGACCCCATCAATGAGGACTAGTCTAGAACCCGCATTATCATGAGGTCAAAAGGGGGAATACACTGATATGGATCCTATTTAATTGGTAGAAAATTGTTAAGGATTGAATCAGACTGACCTAACATTAGCTGTCACTTTTATCCAAAGCGACTATAAGGTTACAATAAGTGCATTTCAAACATAAGGATACAAACTCAACATAAACATAAAAGTGCAATTTCATCATGGGAAGGTAGCGACGGTTCATGTGACCTGGCAATCACAGCGTAGGACGCTGGCGAGGATGTGGCGAGCTGCCGTTCACAGCGTAGGACGGTGGCAATAATCAAAGCGGCACGGCAACGCTAAAACAATAAAGGGACATATGTATCGACCGCGCACGCTAAATAACCCATTTCTAGTGGTCGAGTGAACGGTTTGGCCGGGGTGCGGAGGGGTTGCTGTCAGTCCGCTGATGCTCTCTCTCCGCTGGCTGCGCTCGGTAATCAAAACGTTGCCCAAATGACCCTTTTCAGGCTTTATGAACAAATACAGAATCCCTTTTTGTGTTCATTTCTAAAGCATCGCATTAAGACACACATCACTTTATTTAAGACGCTGCGCTACTTGCAGATCGCTGTGTTGTGCCTGATTCTCAATAAAGTTAGAAAAAAAATGATTTAAAATGATTTACGACGCGTGGTCGTGAAGATACTCATTAACATGTCATTTGCATGAGGAGGAGGGGGCAGGTCCATGTATCCACTGAAAAAGGATCCTTCCACCGACCACCGGAAGAACCTACCACCGACCAATCCAACCTGCCGCTCCGAAAAGGGAACATGTCACCGACCACCGGAACCTGCTGTCCGGACAAAGGAACCTTCCACCGATCACTTTTCTTACTCGGCGTCACTCGCCTCTCGTCTGTCAGAAGCGACAGGCTTGGTGACCTGACGTGATTTTTTTTCTCCCAATGGCAGGTCTACTGGCACTACGTTAGTGAACGACCGTGTCCCCCTGGTCTAACGCATGCGCTAACTCGTGTACGACCCCCAGTGGGCTTTTTTAGGAATAGCAGCTACTTTTATCAAAATGCAGTTTATGTCTTTTTGTAATTCTCCCAATAGAAAATTCATCCGGCGGGCCGCACTGGACCCCCCAGGGGACCGGATTCGGCCCATAGGCCTTGAGTTTGACGCCTTCAACAACTCTATAGGCTGAACCGAACGGTCTCTGAAATGGGACAGTCTGGCCGAGGGGGGAACTTCCTGCTTGCGTCATCAGCGTTACCTCCGCTGCTCCTGTTGCCTAGCAACCTGCTGCGCTTGACAGTAAATGTCTTAAAAGACAGACAAGACATTACAAAGTACAGAAAAAGAAGATCTTAACGTATAACTAACAAGATCTTAACGTATAACTAACACGATATTGGTCAATTCTCAATCTATGAAGTGTCATATCCCTAGTTTCGATTTGTCTGAAGCAGATTCCTAAAAGTGTAAGCTCTATTATTACTTGATCCATGTTCAAGTTCACCTCCTTTATGCCACACTATATTTCCATGATACATTTCTGTAGTTTTTGAGAAAATAAAAGATAAAATCCGTAAAAGTGGAGAGAGGGCTAGCGCAAATTGTGTCACCGGCAACTCGCTGAGGCACTTCCTGTTGCAGGTTGCGGTGCCGCGGTGAATCGTGGCAGCTGCCTCGAGTTTACGGCAACTGCCTCGCCTGTTGCCTCGGCTGAGTGAGGTACCTCGAGCGGTACCACGAATTCAGGGGCCGGTTCATCGGTCGAGAGAGGTACCTCTAGCGGTACCTCGAGTTAAAGGAGTCTTGCCAAGACCGGAGGCATGCAACGACCAAAGGGAGCGGTGCATCGGCTGATAGACGTACTGGGAGTTTAAGGGAGAGGTGCCACTGCTGTTAAGGGAGCTGTGCCTCGGCTGATAGACGTACCGGGAGTTTAAGGGAGAGGTGCCACGGCTGTTAACGTACCGGGAGTTTAAGGGAGAGGTGCCACGGCTGTTTCCATTAATTTTAGTATTCATATGTATGCAACATGTGACAGTATAATACAGTTTAAGTACGACTGTTATCTGCGGGTTGAGTTGCCATGGCGAGTCGTGGCAGCGGCCACAACTTCACGACAGCTGCCTCGACTTTGCGGCAATGATGCCTCGACTGTTGCAGTTTTCTTTTCATATTTTGACAAAATGTGACAATACTATCCTGCACTATCCTGTACTCTGTGCTTAAGAGTACGTTGTGTTGTTGGTTGTAATTGGTTTAGTCATAAAACGCCGATAAGTGATGCAATAGCTTCCCGTTTAAGTTCAGCTAAGCTAATATGGGCTAAGACCATTCGTAGCCCTGGTTACGATAACCACTTTCCGGCAGCGCCCCAAATGAATGCAAATTGTAAATATTGATGCATTGTAACGTTGAAACTATTGAGAAGTGCTGAAAGCTATTTGGATATATATAATATGTATGTATATATGTATGATACAGTAATAAAGGATATTGATTTGTATATTATATCTGTTCATCATCGTATATATTAATTTTATGTGTCTGTGTTTATATTTATATGTATGTAATGTTTATATATTTTATCTAACAATTTTTAAAACCTTTTTAATAAGTTTTTTTCTGTTTATCTCAACAGGACTCTTGTTTGGGGAGGCAGTAAGAACAATGTGACCGCATGAGGCCCAAACAGCACCATTCCAGCTATTGTAAACATCACGTGATCAATCAGTTTGCCACAGTTCCTGTCTTGCAGGTCCTCTGGCGAGCGCAACTGCCACGACTTGCCGCGGCAGTCAACATGACATGCTGCAGCAGCTGCCACGGCTTGCAAAGCAGTTATCTCGACATGCAGCTATACCAGGGGTGGGCAAACTACGAGTATTATGAATTATAAATTATAGTAACGACCGCTGTAACACTTCTCCGTTCCCGACTTGAGTTTCCTAAAGCACGATGACTGCAAAAGACCAGCATAGTTGGTTTTGCTGTTTATATTTGTAATAGTATTGCTACTTTTAAGTCATATGTGTTTGTGGGTTTTTAAAATGTTTTTTGTTTATTTATTTGTTATTTTATTTTATTATATTTAATATATATATCACACACACACACTTTTGAAAGACAAGTTATTGACCCATTTAGCCACAAGAGGGACCCATTTAGCCACGAGAAGGAGTATACCTTTAGGTGAGCATCACCTGTTTACCAGGAGTAAACAAATGCAGCTCACATTCACTAGGCTTTTGAGCACTTTTTAATATCACCCCCGTTATATAACGTTTTTTTAAACCGTATTTTTTTTCTAACTTTATAAAACCATAGTGAAATGTTATTTGTTTGCGCAGCTGTTTTTTTTACACAATTCTAGTACTGGTGTAGTTGCTGTTGCAACACTACAGCACTGCCTGCTTCTGTTGCCAAAATGTAGTGAATATAACCTTTTATCATATATCTGTATATTTTTAATTGTATTAGTCTAATTTACCTTTTTTGTCATAAAGCTCCAACCAAATCTAACAGTTTGTTTGACTCTTCATTGTTCGAAGTCTTTGAATGTGATTTATATGTTACAGCCTACACATTTGATATTCATTTAGTAAAATTAGCTATTAAATTATACCATACTAATTAACTCAACATGCAGCAGCATGTACAGGGAAGAAAATAGAATAAAAAGATACACATTATATACAATATAATAAGATAGAAATATTAAATTATTAAATAAAATTAAATAAACTGAAACAAAAGAATAACCTTCCAAAAGAGACAATAATAATAATTTGTAAAAGGAGAAGAGGAAGAGGAAAGAGCAGCAGCAGTACAGGTTTATTATTGTCATTATTTAGCCAGGGATGATTTATTGTAAAGTGTTATTGCACTAGGCAGGAATAATAATAATAGTTAATAGTTAATAATAATAACTACCAACACTGGTAATTTTAAAGGCAGTATTGTAGTCACATATTGGCAAATTATAAAACAAACATATCACATATTTGGGAAATAAAAACAGCAACTGTCTGGCGCAAAGTCGAGGCAGCTGTCGTAAAAACGGCAACCGTCGAGGCACCACTGCGGCAAAGTCGAGGTAGCTGTCGTGAAGCCGTGGCAATTGCCTCGAAGTCATGGCAAGTGTCTCAACTTCGTGGCAACTGCCTCGTGAAATCGTGGCAACTGCCTCGAAGTCGTGGCAACTGGCTCGTGAAAGTGTGGCAAGTGCCTCGAAGTCGTGGCAAGTGTCTCGAATTCGTGGCAACTGCCTCGTGAAATCGTGGCAAGTGCCTCGTGAAATCGTGGCAAGTGCCTCGTGAAATCGTGGCAAGTGCCTCGTGAAATCGTGGCAAGTGCCTCGACTTCGTGGCAACTGGCTTGTGAAATCGTGGCAACTGCCGCAGTGTCGAGGCAGTTGCCACGATTCGCCGCGGCACCGCAACCTGCAACAGGAAGTGCCTCGGCGGGTTGGCAGTGCCACGATTTGCGCTAGCTCCTACTGGAGAAGTGACAGAATATTGGTAATTTCCCTCTTTGAAGTGTGATACGGCAATTTGTGCATTTTAGGCTGGACAAGCCCCTTTACCGTACGGCCTTGAATAGAGGTGCATTTCATTTCGAAATGCGGTCCACGGGACCATGACACTACAAACATAAGGATACGGCGATTAGTGCCTTTTGGGCTATACAAGCTCCGTTACCGTATCGCCCTGAAAGTATCAGATTTTAACGTTGAAATTACGTCTACTGCTCACTGATAAGGGCAATTTGTGTGTAAAAGTAGTGTAAACTATGAATAAAGTAGTAACGTTGTATCATAGATTAGGGACAAATTGGATTCATGTTTACAGAAGAGTCAGACAACATACAAAAGTAGTAATTTGAAACGCTCAGAACGGGCTTGTCTTTTCTATGAAGGCAAAGTGTCCAGCCTGAAGTTCACTGCTCGGAGGTAACAACGCGCCGGCCGCAAACACCACGGAAAAGCGCTGAGTTGGCAAATGAGACGGATGCTTTTATCACGAGTTTGAGCCAGCTGTCTGAAATACAGAACAGGATATTCACTTGAATCTCTGCTGAAGGTGGCAAATGTAGCACAGGGTCTTAATGCCTTCGTGTTGATCAATGATACGCATCAGTTCCGCTCGATCAGTTGACTAAGACGGCTTTCTCAGTAACATTTTGCGAAACCTAAAAAAGGAGAAGTAAACTCAGATTGTCTAACACATGGAGAAATGTGTCCCAGATGCTGACATTTATTACAGAGCTCCGAGTGGAAGATTTCACTTTGGCTGTCTTTCTTCAGTCTTCTATTTTTACAATATTTGCCTTTGATTATTGATTGCACGGACAACCGGAGCAGTTTCAAGTAATCACCGAACCGTTTGTAAGTTGCAATTTATTATTTGTTGCTGTACACTGTTTGATAGACATTCCGATTTAAAGACACCCTTTTCTTCTTACCGCTTTAAAGCTCTTGGTCCACTCCATTGGTTGAGCCTTCCGTCATGGCTCGGTACCTGGGTTACTTCAGCACCGTGGGCGATGCTCAGCCGGTCCAGTGGGAGGATGAAGAAGAGCTGCACGTTAAGAGCGAGGAGCTGGGTTCGGCCACTGGTCAGTTTCCAACAAAGCTGACGTTCAGGGATTCACTGCGGGGGCTCTACGGATCGGAGCGGTTCCAGGTACGCTGCTCTTGTCTTCTCGTTGCATCTGATCCAGCAGTGTGGAAGCAAGTTGGATGGTTTCTTAACTTTGACGACATTGATGTGGATATATGGGAAGAATGCCAATCAAGTGTGTGATCTTGAAATTGCTTGTTTTGCAACCATTGCCCACAACTCAGAAATTTGGCGGTTTTCATTTTTAAAGGTTACACTCATAACTTTGTCAGACTCATGATGGCAGTTGAAGAAAATTAATTCAATGTACTTGAATTCAAACATCTTGTGCATACTACCCATATGCTAGCAGCAGCTAACGTAATGTAGTGTGGCGCCTCTATCCTGCAGCAGCATCCTTGAACAGCGGGTTGCAGAGGTATCACTTCTTGCTAACTAGATTTCTCAAACCTGTCTTGCCACAACCAACATAATTTCAGGACATTTATAAGCCTTTTGTGTTACCCTTGAAGGGTTTTGTATAACATTGTTTTCCACATACACAGTAGTTTTATTGCATTTGGAAACTCAATTTCATGGGTGATATTGGAACAGTTTCCCTTTAAGTCACGGTATCAAGAGGGAGACCTCCCACTGATTGACTGACTTTACTTTCAGGTGTTGGTGGTGTGTCTGGTAATCCTGGACGCCATCTTTGTTCTTGCAGAACTGCTTATAGATCTGTCTGTGATCCAGTTGGAACATGGTCACCTTGCTCCTGAGGTGAGACACAAGTTTTGCTTGGCCAAGTGGGGAAACCTATCAAACCCGTTTCTATGTTATTTTAGGTGTTCCACTACCTGAGCTTGGCTCTTCTCTCATTCTTCATGATGGAGCTGGTTGGTAAGCTCTACGCTTACCGCATTGAGTTCTTTCATCACAAGTTTGAGATGTTTGATGGAGCCGTGGTGGTGGTTTCCTTTGTCCTGGACATTGTGTTCATCTTCCATGAGGATGCCTTTGATGGGATGGGTCTCCTTATCTTGCTGCGACTCTGGAGGGTGGCTAGAATCATCAATGGTCAGTAACACTTTGCCTCAACGTATGTATAAGATATTGCGGTTGTATGACATTTTTTCAAATGCGAAGGTGTCAGTGAGTGTCTTTGTGGCATCTGGATGACAGGAAGGTGGAGCTTTTGTTACCTTTCATAAGACTCACTGCATGGGTACTTTCCAGCTCTGCAGCAGAGCTGGCGTCTACACAACCAGTTTAGGTTTCTCTGGGAGTGTTGCTACATACCAGCTGACGTTAAATGGATAGTTCCGGTTTTATTAGGTACTAACCCTTAGTTCTTGGCGAACCTTTCCAACGGTTATCTATAGTCTTCAAAACGTCAACTCTTTTGACTAAAAGGGATTTGACCTCACACAACATGCGAGTTGGTCTACCACAGTGCATCAACGTCTTTGATATAACGTTCACACTGTCACTTCAAATTCTCTTGTAATGTAACAATATGTTAGTTAATTTTTACTGATGTTTTAAATGAAAATCTGGTCACATCTTACACATTGCATCTCTTAAGACCGCAAGGTTGGCGGTTTGAACCCTGGCTGTCCATGGCCCATGTCGAACAAAAAATCCAACCTGCTCCTCGGCGCCCTTACAGCTGCATACTACTTCCACTGTGTGGGATCGGTTAGAAATGCAATACAAGTCGCTTTGGATAAAGCCGTCAGCTAAATAACATGTAGTGAGACTATGAACACCAAATTATAGATTCCCCTGCTTGCTGTAGAATTAGTTTTTATGATGATATATATTTAATTGGTTTGATTTATAAGGCTTCTGAGTTTCTAGTAAAAATGAAGTGAATACGATGAGCCAGCATAGTTGCTACACACCCGATGACTGTTTGAATCTGTTGCAGGTATCATGGTGTCAGTGAAAACTCGTGCAGACCAGAGGATTCACAAGCTAAAGGAAAGCTATGACCACCTTGTTCAAAGAGTCACAGAGCTACAGGAGCGCAGTGATAAACTGGTGAGGCGTCACACTATCAGAAGGCTCATCATTAGTCACTTTATATATTATATTCCAATCAACCTGCATGTGAAATAAGCATGGAAGAAACCTCTAAATGGTTTGTTAAATCCCATGTTTTTATTTCAACCCAGCCCACAAAAAACTAACTTGGTACTCCATGTTCATAGTTTGTCAGTTATTAAGCTTTCCAGATACTCAAATGTTTTGACTTGTCAAAAAAAAAAAAAATCCCAGCTGTAATGTTTGCATGACCACAGCTATGATTGAGGATATTGTGACATGTTAAGGTCATCTGGAAACCTGGGGAAGACTTTCATTTACAATTAAAAAGTTAGAGATGATGGGTCTACATTCAGCTTAGCTCTATCATTTTAGACTCAAATTAAAAAATAGGCTTCAGAATTAAATTCCAGTTGATTAACCGTAAGAAAAACGTTCATTATAATTAAGTTAAAGTTGTTTGCATGTTTTGTATCCCTTGTAATTGGTTCCATCAGTGATGACGTTATACTTACCAATGTGGGGACAACGCTAAATAATGTCTGTGGCCGTGATAGCGCTACCACCGCCGGGTTCCGTAAGGACGCACGGACACGCGTTGAGAGCAATACGACTTTTATTTTGCAAGGGATCAGTGGGCAGGATTGAGGCCACTCTCGTGCTCCGCTCCGCTCTGCTCATGTCCCTCGATCTGGATCTCACTGTTTTTACCAGAGAGACAATCAGTGCAGATTATTTCCACCTGTGCTTTCTCCTCACCTACCGGCACCGTCTCCCCCGCTCTACCCCCTGCAGCTGAGCTAACCACGCCCCGCCACCACAATGTCCAATTGCAAAAAAAACTTCAGCAGTCAGAAAATCAGAACCGTAGTGTAGAATATATCCTACATGTACAAACCTCTGGGGAATATGGGTACCTGTACATCGAAAATTATTTCAGAACAGAAATCTATCAAATTTGGGCTAGCATAATTTAACTTACAGTGGGTACGCTTTGAATGATGTCCAAATACAAACTGTGTCTTATCTCTCTCTCTCTCTCCCCATCATAGGAACAAGAAAACCAGAAACTGCAAGCCCTCCAGAAGGAGAAAAGCATAGTCTAACTCCGTAGGCATACTCTTGGGGCACACCTACTTCTCTGCACTATACCCAAAATACAGATATCCTAAAATAAAAGTTAAGAGTGTATCATTGGAACATTATAGTGATAGAAACCAATTAAATGAATATCTAATGAATGTCCAATGCTACTGAATGTGACTCTATAAAGCTGCTAAGCCATGGCTTTTGGCTAATACATAATAAATATTAAGAAATTCCTAAATGTAGAGTGCATCCGGAAAGTATTCACAGCGCTTCACTTTTTCCACATTGTTATGTTACAGCCTTATTCAAAAATGGATTAAATTCATTATTTTCCTCAACATTCTACACACAACAACCCATAATGACAAAGTGAAAATTATTTTTTGCAAATTTGTTAAAAATAAAGAACGAAAACATAACATGTACATAAGTATTCACAGTCTTTGCTCAATATTTTTGTTGAAGCACCTTTGGCAGCAATTACAGCCTCAAGTCTTCTTGGGTATGATTCCACAAGAGTGGCACACCTATTTCTGGGCAGTGTCCCCCATTCTTCTTTGCAGAACCTCTCAATGGCGAGCGTCGGTGCACAGCTATTTTCAGATCTCTCCAGAGATATTCAATCGGGTTCAAGTCAGGGCTCTGGCTGGGCCACTCAAGGACATTCACAGAGTTGTCCCGAAGCCACTCCTTTGTTATCTTGGCGGTGTGCTTCAGGTCGTTGTCTTGTTGGAAGATGAACAGTCGCCCCAGTCTGAGGTCCAGATCGCTTTGGAGCATGTTTTCATCAAGGAATGTCTCTGTACATTGCTGCATTCATCTTTCCCTCAATCCTGACTAGTCTCCCAGTTCCTCCCGCTGAAAAACATCCCCACGGCATGATGCTGCCACCACCATGCTTCACTGTAAGGATGGTGTTGGCCAGGTGATGAGCAGTGCCTGGTTTTCTCCAGACATGACGCTTGGCATTCAGGCCAAAGAGTTCAATCTTTGTTTCATCAGACCAGAGAATTTAGTTTCTCATGGTCTGAGAGTCCTTCAGGTGCTTTTTTGCAAACTCAAGGCGGGCTGTCATGTGCTTTTTACTGAGGAGTGGCTTCCGTCTGGCCACTCTACCAAACAGGCCTGATTTGTGGAGTGCTGCAGAGATGGTTGTCCTTCTGGAAGGTTCTCCTCTCTTCATAGAACAACGCTGAGCTCTGTCAGAGTGACCATCGGGTTCCTGGTCACCTCCCTGACTAAGGCCCTTCTCCCCCGATCCCTCAGTCTGGCTGGGTGGCCAACTGTAGGAAGAGTCCTGGTGGTTCCAAACTTCTTCCATTTCCTGATGATGGAGGCCACTGTGCTCATTGGGACTTTCAATGCTGCAGAAATCTTTCTGTACCCTTCGCCAGATCTGTGACTCGATACAATTCTGTCTCGGAGGTAGATAATTCCTTGGACTTCATGGCTTGGTTTATGCACTGTCAACTGTGATACCTCATATACACAGGTGTGTGGCTTTCTCAATCATGTCCAGTCCACTGAATTTAGCACAGGTGGACTCCAATCAAGTCGTAGAAACATCTCAAGGATGATCAGTGGAAACAGGATGCACCTGAGCTAAATTTTGAGTGTCATGGCAAAGGCTGTGAATACTTATGTACATGGTATATTTTCATTCTTTATTTTTAACTGATTCGCAAAAATGTGCAAAAAACAGTTTTCACTTTGTCATTATGGGTTGTTGTGTGTAGAATGTTGAGGAAAATAATGAATTTAATCCATTTTGGAATAAGGCTGTAACATAACAATGTGGAAAAAGTGAAGCGCTGTGAATACTTTCCGGATGCACTGTACATCTGCTAAGTGATGTTTAAAACATATGTATGTTGTGAAAAAAATCAAATGCAAAATTTCATTTTTTACAATTCTATTTCAATTATTCACAGAATATACAGGAACACAACATGCTAGTTGTATAAACAGGATTTTTGGTTATGTTATCATATACTATAGAGAGATTGACTGTAAAGATGTGTAATGTATTTTTTGGGATAAAAGAGGGAGGAAGGTTCCTCGTGGTAGCTTGGACACAGTAAGACAAGCCCACCATGAATGCAGAATACCCATTTGACCTCTTCTCTGTTTCCATGTGTACTCAGACAAATGGGAAAAAGAAGTCAAATGGAAGTTTGGTGTTGATCGTGGGCGTGGCTCTGTAACCAGGAAGACCAGCAGCAGAAAATGATATAAAGGCCACTGAGGTCCTGACTGACAGGATGCTGTTGCTTCCAGACAACATGTCCTAAGGAAGAACATAGACAGTTAGACACGGTAGAAATTATTAGAAAGCCAAGTGCATTTTTTCGTCGTTTTAAAAGCTGAAAGTGTCCTGCCATTGTTGAACAAAGTCTTACCAAACTGGTGATGTTGGTTTGGATTACTTCCTTTATGCTCACTATCTGAGCTTGGGGGTTTATCAATGATCCATACCTAGTCCACTGAATTTGTAGGTGGATCGACAATGGGATCCTGCAATGTCCATCCTGCAAAACACAAACATACTAATGGATTGTGGCCGCAATAGAGATGACTTCATGTCATCATTCACATCCATCCAATTCCATCCAGGTCCAGGAGACTGGAGTGGCGCGACTCTGCGATGACCAAAACACTCGCATCACGTTTGGTGTGAACGCAACATGAGGCTCAGCTTCTTAAGGTTTTTATGCTCACCACAGAATTGAAGTTGCTCTCTATCGGGACCCAATCCAGTGGATAGTGTAGCGGAGTGTTTCCAAAAGATGCCACAAATTTGCCCCTGTTTGTTCCTCTTAAAACATCCAAAAGAACCTGAACGACCAGAGAGCAGTTGGCAGTATCTGTCAGTCTGCGGGAACAAGATAAGTCGCGTCATCAATGTAATAAGATACAAGGAAGCAATGTAACTACACAGTAAGCAGATGATTTGAGTTTAAATATGTCCTGCCTTAATGTGCAGCCGGACACAGAATCCAGACCAAACAGGACGGGGGAACGCTTGTGTGGTTCCTGCAGACAGTCCTGGTCTCCAGCACTGTGAAGAAGAGATACTGTGTCCCTGGAGTCAACGCTTCGAATGATCCCTGTGAAGACAACCGTTGAGGAAAATCCTGGGCCTTGAAGGACATCAAAACTCCCTTTCCCATTAAACACTGCCAAATCTCCATACTACTGCTGTTCAAAGATATGAATACAATGTTTTTATTATTGTCTCTAAATAACTGCATCCAGGCAGGTAAAAGGATATTCGACTGTTCTTGTTCCAGACACAAGAGGTAGCCCCACCACATAACCTGGATTTCCACTGTAGTGTATGGCCCCATCATCCCCGTTCTCCTGTTTAACAGACACAAGCTAAAGCACATTTTTTCAAATTGGGGGTTGAAAATAAGTTTGGATTTATTAGGGTCCTCGCTACGACTAGTCGTAGAGGAACCGGTTGTATTTCAAGGAGTTATTAGGGTCCTCGCTACGACTAGTCATAGAGGAACCTATTGTATTTCAAGAATTATTATTATTATTTTCTCTAAAGGAATTTTCCCTTTTTGAGGCCTTTATCATATTAAAAAAAAGTTGTTAAATTCGGCACGCATATCAGAACTGGTGAAAAATTTGATAATTTGGCATTTGGGTACAAAGAAATGTCTCCATAGCGCCCCCAGGAATTTGAAAAGTACCACACTAGGCCAGTTTTCCCCCCCGATGCCCGAATGACTTGAAATTTGGCGCACATGTGCTCTTGGACATGCTCTACAAAAAAGTAAATCATGGTATGCAAATGCGCCTAATTAGATTTTCCGCCATTTTGAATGTTGAATGTGGATTTCTCCTAAACGCTATGTCCGATTGTCACGGAAATTTCTGTGGATCATTATTGGGTCAATGTCCCCCCGCCTCATCATGATCATGTTGATATCTCATTGTTTTGAAAAGATATGGGCTGATGAACTTCGCAAGGGGTGTGGCTTAATCTTGCAAGAGTCATAACTTCCAAATGATCTGGCCTGCCCTCACCAAACTTGTAACACATGTGAACATTGAACCCCTGAACACACCCTAATTTTTTTGACAATATTTGAAGAATAGGGGGCGCTGCAACTATTTTCACGATCTCACAAGAGTTGTGAAAGACAAACTCCTCCCAGGGATCAAACCCGATTCTTTTTAAATTGCCACAGTGGGATCTTGAGACCTAAGGCTCTAAAAATTGCATTTTGCCAGAAGAAATTCCAAACTATATGTGTAGGGAACATTTAAAAAAAACACCATTCGCCATGAAAATTGAAGTTGTTTTAACTCGACCATACTTTATCTAATCTGCTCCATATTTCTCATACAGCATGAACTTCTCATCCTGTAGACATCTATATGATCATTTTTAACCTTAGTCATAGTGACCTGGTGACAACAGCCTGCTTCTCATAGGTGTATGGTATTTTGAGAGGTTTTCATTTTGGAATAGTACATCAGAATGTCCTGGTTATCCCTGGGTTATATCTTGGGGATGTGTACTATCCGTCTGAAGTGACATTATCATGTCTATTGATAGTTTCCTTTTAAATCTAATCAGAATTTGACCAGAAGTTAACTGGTGAAAGATTCTGAAGGAAGTTGGCTCATGTATGACATTTTGAGTGGCTTTAACTTTGAAATGGTAAATCAGAATGTCCTGATTATCAGTGAGTGACACCTGGAGGTGGTATATTATGTGGAATTATTATGTAACTATTGATTGATACCCGTTTCCTTGCAAATTAATCAGATCCCTCTCAAATGTTGTCAGAAAAGAACTAAGACCGTAATAATGTTAAAGAGGAAGTTTGCAAACTGGCATTCCAGTCGTCGCCACACACGGTTAACGACGACTGACTCTTGGACGCTTTGTCCGACGGCCCCAGGAGTTCTTGGCTGTGTTTCTAGCCGTCCGGCCGGTGCCCCGACTTGCGGAGTAGCGAGGACCCGTCCAACGCTGCTTGCAGCTTTAATTAGATTTAAAGTTTGCACTGTCAGAAACCCATTTCCTGAGACCCAATAACTGAGTGAAAGGAAAAGTCCCCATGAATGATGGCCCTCTACAGTCATTTTTGCAGCTTTTCTTGAAAGTAGAGTATTAGGAAAAATTTAAACATTTTGGAGCAGCCAAAGACCATTAAGCTTCGGTCTCTGTGAAATGATCACCAAAATGTCTGCAATCAAGACACAAGTGGAGTGATCTGAGTGCCTACATAATTTGTTTAGATTCTAAAAAGTTTGACCAATCTGCCCCTTGCACCGAAAGAGCAGGTCGCCTCTTATCTTTAGAGTTTCAGTTATTTCAGGCTTTGTCTCCTCTACCATTTTTAATATTGCATGCTACACTGTAACTGAAATCTCTTCCATTAGAATCAACAACTTAGATAAAATAGTAAGCTCAAGCTGTCCTCACAATTCAGTCCTGGAACAGCAAGGACGTGATCTGTCCCTTGGTCTATGCCATGCATTAACTCATGCCGATCTGGTTTTAATTAAATTGTTTTGTAAGTCAACACTGTATGCACCTAAAATGGTAGTTCTGAGTGGATCATAGTGTACCACACAATACATAGGCAATGCCTTGTTGAGACAAACCTGGACAAATGTGATGCTAAACTCCTGTTCCAGGGACAGTGCAGCTTCACGGACAAATCCAAGTACCAGAGACACCGTCACATTCAATATCTTACCGGATGGATTGAACGTAGTCAGATATGCGACCTATGGAGATAAACGTGTCCAAGACTTATATTATTTGTAAGTGTAATTGTAATTGTAAACTTGGGCTATAAATCCCTAAATACAGGTTGGAGACTCACCTTGAGCACCACATTAACACAGGCTGTGGGATTCAGAACAGGGTTGAGGTTTTCTCCACCATTGATGATGAGCTCTGTCTGACTCCCATCAACAGTCTGCAGGATAACTGAAGCCAACTCCACAGGTACAAGCTCCAGCAATGTCACAAACACCCACACTAGTCAAACTTTATCACAAATAGATGTTTCAGATTTACCCTCTCCTCTCGTTTCCACCAGTCTGTATAGTTTGTTAACTCAGGAGAAGAAAGCCAGTGGATCGGTTGCCACATCCCTTTGGCCCATACTGGCTGTAAAGTGTTTTTTTCATTGTGTTGAACTACCATTCCAGGCAGTCATTGCTTTCCTATAGTGTAAACTTATTTATGCGCCACGCATTACTGCTGCAGATGGGATATTCACCGTTATACACATATCTTTATCAAGATTCAAGTTCCCACAGCTAAACTTAAAGCTAAATTTTAGGAAAAACATTTCTCAGAAATCTACGACATTAGCAGTTTCTTTTGATTTCATAGAAATGTTAAACTAAAGTGTTGTGTCATTGCAGATGACACAACACTGAATACTTCCTTCTTCTTGGGAACAGAGAGAAATGTAAAAATCTTTCTCCATCTCACATTGCAGCATCAACCTCAATCTTTTGTCTTTGTTAACTTACTTCACTAAGTGACATATTTTTGTGGTCTTCCTAGTATTTGTGCAACGTCATTGTGTGTAAATTTCCTGGTGAGGCAGGAGACATGATGCCTTAACTTGCAAGATATGTGTTTCAAGGTTGTATCATTAAACGTGTTTGCTTATTAAAAATGTCAATGCATTTTCTTTTGCCAAGTAAAAAACAGGTAGACTTACTGCTGCATCTGGAGTCTTCCCCTGTTAAGTGGAAAAGATGTGGTTTGACATCTTTGAATCGACAAACACATTTTTCATTTTCAGCATTTCCATTTATCTTTTGCAAAAGCATGAGAATGCTACGTTTTTTTCTGATTTAAGAATGATAAAAGAAACAGCAAACTCAAATCACAAACACAGCTAAATAGCTGAGGCAGATTCAGAAAACAAAAGGGACAAAAAGAAAACCACAAAGAGAGAACATCTGCGGTGGCCCTGAAGTGCAAAACACAACGGCAAATAGGAACGCACAACGCAAATAGGAAAACACAACGAAATGAACTCCTTACGGAAAGGGCAGGGCCTTATAGCAGAAGACGGACAGTTCTGATTGGACAGATGGATAGTCTGTCTTTTAACAGGAAATGATACAGGGCTCTCAAGTGTCACGCATTGAGCGAGACAGTCACGCACTCCCGCCACACATCCAATTCCTCATGCCAAGGAATCGGACTCCAGTCCGCGGTCCCCCCCCCCTTCCGTAGCGTCCACCGGCTGTAGCGTCCGCTGTACCCCACTTTTATTTACAACATCCAAATATAATTAAACAACAAATACCGGTAAAACAATGGTGAAACACTAGTAGGACACTTTTAAGACACCCGTAAAATATCGCCATCTCTCCGTGACTTTCTGCTGCGGCTCTCCTGCTGCGCTCACTTCCACCCCTCATCACAGCCTCTCCCGCCTCGGATTTATTGATTGCCATAATATCTAGAAAGCGGCATTTCTCAGCTTTCAGAATCCAATCCAAATAGTTAAGGAGTCACGGTAATTTGAATCCTCCACGTCACTTTCCGTCGCTGGCGAAAGGCTATTGATTAAGAGGGTTAAAAGACAGACAGTCCGTCTGTCCAATCAGAAATGACCGTCCTCTGCTATCTGCAATAAGACCCTACTCGTTCCGTAAGAAGTCAATGTTGTGTTTTCCTATTTGCCGTATGGCCACCGTAAACATCAGCTGTATTGTATTTCAAAGTGCATCAAATGTCGCTCACTGACAATGCCTTAGACATCGACTGTTCACAGGTTAAACATTTTTTCAGTGATTGGAAAGACAATGTGAGACTCACAGCAAAGAGCCCCATGTTGGTGTAAGTGTCAATGCGGAGGGCCAGAAGAGATTCACAGTCGTGCTTCAGGACCAGACGACGAGAACACAGACTGCTCTGATCCTTTAAGAACGCTGTGGAGGAAAACAGGAGAAATGTGACCAACAGGGCACATAGAAAATCCTTGAAACATGAAATTACAATGACAAGTGGAAATATTATAATCATCACCTGTTTTGTTTAAAATTGTTATGACACAGTAGTGTTCTGCAACTGCAAGTTCAACTACTGTAAAATATCTCTATTTTTCCATCCCAGCCTTGTTTCAATGAGGAACAATTCAAATCAACAACATAGAGCCTTATTTTCAAAGGCAACAGAATATGTAATAGAAATCAAGCACATCAATTTCAGTATCACTATGTGATCTCAATTCAGCCTTTGTCCCAAGGAACCTTATGTCTTATCTCATCTTCAACCGCTTTTCGGGGTCGGGGCAACAGTTCCATTAGGGGACCCCAAACTTCTCTTTCCTGCACCCCATCAACCAGTTTTGACTGGGGCTTCCCGAGGCGTACCCTGATCCCCCCTTAATATTGTTTCTGAACGGTGTAGGCAAATTGTTTTGGTTTATAGCTAGTGTGAAACTAAAATTGTTCACATCAATAGATTTATTAATAATCCCTCAGATAATTCACAAAATAAATAAATAACGGAGCACCACCAAACTATAAATCTTATAATTGATATTCACTCATCAAGCGCAAGGAATTGGAGGTTTAAGTTTGAACACTGGACTACGCTTCCAGCCACCATAATATCACATATGCACAGAGAAATCACAGAAAACCTCTCCTTAACGTAACAGCATTCCAACAATACTAATCAGACATATTTATTGGTTAGTTAATTATAAAACAAAAGAAACAAGGAAAGACTCAAAGCAAAGCAGCTCTGTTGTCTCACTGTGGCAACAGGGAGACAAGACAGCAGTAAACATCATCACACAGTCACGCAACTTGGAAACTGAATTTTTGCGCTCTGAATAGAAGCTCCAAATACCGGTCTTATTTGTGGGGATTGAGCTAACCTAGCTAACCAACAGAATACTACAGCAGCCAAGACCGTGGTTATTACGCAGCTCTGGGAAATTAAACCTATTGTATTTCATAGAATTATTAGGGTTCTCGCAACAACTAGTCGTAGAGGAACCTATTGTATTTCAAGGAATTATTATTATTAGCGTCCTCGCCACGACTAGTCGTAGAGGAACCTATTGTATTACAAGGAATTATTATTATTATTCTCTCTACGTTTTATTGCTTTTTGGGGGGCCTTATCATATCCAAAAAGTTTGACATGAATATCAGGACTGTGGAAAAATGTGCTATTTTGGGGGTCTCACATTTGGGTGTATAGAAATGTCTGTAGCGCTTCCTAGAAATTTGAAAAGTACCACTAGTTTACTAGTACAAATATTGGTTTAAGCAGCCCCAGCGCTACGTTTGACCTACTTGTGTGAACCTTGGTAGGAATATGTAACACGTGCAAACTGAAAAGAGTCTGTCCAATCAGAAGGGTCCGTCCTTTGCTAGACAGGCCCTACCCTTTCCGTAAGAAGTTAATGTCATTGTGTTTTCCTATTTGCCGTTGTGCTTTCTTATTAGAAACGACTAGTCGTAGAGGAACCTATTGTATTTCAAGGATTAGGGTCCTTGCAACACCTAGTCGGAGAGAGGAACCTATTGTATTTCATGAAATTATAATTTTCTCTAAGGACTTTTCCATTATTGAGGCCTTTATCCTATTCAAAAAGTTGTTAAATTTGGCATGCATATCAGAACTAGTGAAAGATTTGATAATTTAGAGGTCTCGCATTTGAGTATCAAGAAATGTCCCTATAGCGCCGCCAGATTTTTCCTCCGCTGCCCGATTAACTTGAAATTTGGCACACATGTGCTCTTGGACATGCTCTACAAAAAAGTCAATCATGGTATGCAATGCACATAACTAGATTTTCCGCCATTTTGAATTTTGTGAAAAACACATTTTTGGCCATTTCTCCTAAACGCTATGTCCGATTGTCACAACATTTTCTGTGGGTAATTATTGGGTCAAGGTCCCCCCGTTATCAATATCTTGTCGATATCTTCTTGTTTTAACAAGATAGGGGTGTGGCTTAATCTTGCAAGAGTCATAACTTCCAAATGATTTGGCCTGCCCTCACCAAACTTGTAACACATGTGAACATTGAACCCCTGAACGCACCCTCATTTTTTGAGAATATTTGAATAATAGGGGACGCTACAATTAATTGTTGAAAATCTGCCTTTTTGGCCTATTCTATATTTTTTTTGTAAAAGACCGAACTCCTCCCAGGGATTAAACCCGATTCTTTTCAAATTTGCGCTGTGTGATCTTGAGGACCTAGGCTCTAAAAATTGCATTTATCCAGAAGAAATTCCAAACTATGTGTGTAGGGATTATTTTCGAAAAACCACCATTCGCCATGAAAATTGAAGTTGTTTTAACTCGACCATACTTTATCTAATCTGCTCCATATTTCTCATATAGGATGAACTTCTCACCCCGTAGACATCCATATGATCATTTTTAACCTTAGTCATAGCGCCACCTGGGGAAAACAGGAAGTTGAATGTTTTTTTTATTTTACACCCTGCCCCTCACAGTATATGCTCCACAAAGGTTAATCTGATCCCTCTCAAAATATCCTAGCAGAGAGGTAAGACCTTATGCTTCAGTGTGAAAATGATAAGAATCCGATCATTGGTGGCGAGAGGGTACATTGGCAAAGTTCATCCTTCGCCAAGATCAACTAAACCTTTGTAACTCTTCTCCACATTATCGGATTCTTTCCAATTTACACAGGTTTGATGAGACTCTGGGCCTGAAGAGATGTAAAGTTGAATCAAGTCATAGCGCCATCTAATGGTAACAGGAAGTCCAATTTTCTAGTATCCAGTAAAAAATGAAGGTGGCATTTCGAGAGGCTTTAATTTGTAAAATGGTACATCAGAATATCCTGGTTATCACAGAGTGACACCTTTGGGATGTGCACTCTCTGCCCGAAGTGGAAATACTGTGTAAATATTATTTTTTCCTTTTAAATGTAATCTGAAAATGACGAGATGTAGTCTTGTGATGAAGATTTTGAAGGAAATTGGCTCATGTAAGGAATTTTGATAGGCTTTAATCTTGAAATGGTACATCAGAATTTCCTGCTTATCCCTGGGCGACACCTTGGGGATGTATACTATTAGTCTGAAGTTGAAATCCTCATGTAACTATTGATAGTTTCCGTTTAATTCTGACCTTAAATTGACCAAAGTAGTCTTGTGATGGAGATTTTTAAGGAAATTGGCTCATGTATGGTATTTTGAGAGGCTTTCATTTTGGACTAGTACATCAGAATGTCTTGCTTATCCCTGGGTGACACTTTGGGGATGTGTTCTATCAGTCTGAAGTGAAATGATCATGTAACAATTGATAGTTTCCTTCTAATTATTCTAAACGTGTTTTGAGAGGCTTTCATTTTGGAAAATTACATCAGAATGTCCTGGTTATTGCTGAATGACAATTTGGGGATGTGTACTATCCGGCTGAAGTGAAATGATCATCTTACTATTGATCGCTTCCTTTTTAAATACCATGTGAAATTGATTAGAAGGCTGGTGAATGAGATTTAAGAGACGGTTTGGTAATGTATGACATTTCGCATCGGTCCACACGGTAATGACGACTGACTCTCGGACACTCTGTCCGACGGCCGCAGGAGTTTTTGGCTGCGTTTCTAGCCATCTGGCCGGTGCCCCGACGTGCGGCGTAGCGAGGACCCGTCCAATGCTGCTTGCAGCTTTAATTTGTCGTTGTGTTTTCCTATTTGTCATTGTGTTTTCCTATTTGCCATTGTGATTTGCATTTCATGGCCACCGTAGAATACGTACATGTTATATTTGAATTTCGTATTCTTAACATTTGGAAAAAAATGGTTAAGCTTTTGTCAAATCGAATTTAATCCATTTTGGAATATGGTGGAAAACATAATACCAAATGTGGAAAAAGTGAAGCATTGTGAAAACCTTTTGGAAGCACTGTATTTGCTGTTACTGGCTGGCTGTGCCTACTGTTCCGCCTGTGTTTCTGTGCTGTGTTTGGGTTTGAAATTTCTCACCCAGTGAAAGTCAGTGACTTATTGAATATATTTGATTACAGTAACAATATGTTATTAGCATTCATCATTACCCCATGAATTCCACACAGTGGAACAGGTCTCACAGTTTAGTGACGCTGCACCACATTGTACCACGTTGCACTGAGTAGAAGTTACCTGCAGGACTGTTGTCCACACATTCAGCAGTGACTAAAGGAGCTGGTAGCCAGAATATCCCTCCCTGTCCACTCTCTCCTGCTGTCACCATCACATCACCACACTGAAACCGTAAACAATCACCAGAGAATTAATCATCTGAGACAAATGGAGATGGATTAACAGTTCAAGACAGAAACTTGCCTGGTACCCTGACAGGGTCTGGTGGTCTACAGGGTTTTCTGGACTGCCGTTTTCTTCTGAACCAAAATAAAACCTGATGAACTCCTCAAAGAGTGAGTCAAAGTTGCTGTCAGTTGGAAGAGCAGGAGAGGGGTGAGATAATCCATCAACACCTACACAGAAAGAAATGTCAGCAAATGAGAAAAACTTGGAGCAGGAGTAAAGTAGTTGTTACATTGCAGTACCTCTAAGCAGCCATACAATTTAATTCTGAATAATAAACTATGGGATTTAGACAAATTGCACCAGCCAAATCCTTTCAGTGCTGCATTAAATGGATGGTTTGGATATATTAAAGTGGGGTTGAGGTATTCTTATTTAGGCAATGTATTGACTTGAGCTGAACCCTTTATTATAGTTTGATATATCCAACTATGTTCTCTTCAAAGCTGCCTCCATTAACAAAAACAGTCATTTAACCAGCATGTGAAAAGGAAGAGCCTTTTCCCAAGTGGGCTAGTTCATTCCTTGTTTGGGAAAGGGCACAGAATATATAAATGTAACCGCCTAAATGTGTACATTAATGTCAGCACTTGATTATACACTTGTTCACATCCACCTTACACATCTCACCCCGCAATAACAGCAGCAATCTGTCATCCCTGATGGATGGATTCAGCGATCAGCCTGGTGTGAGGATTTGTGTAGTTGTTTGTTGTTTTCGTCTCTCCTCCCCCCCTTCTCTGTTTCCCTTTGCAGTTGCTGTGAGCGCTATGGGGCGTGGCTGGTTCTCTGCAGCGGACGAGGCGCACCTGCACGCAATACTAATCATCCCCACTATAAAGATCTGGTCCGCTCAACAAGCCGGCGCCAGATTATTCCATCCATAGACCTCGAACCTCTGTGTGCCTCTGCGCTCGGCTGTCATCCTCGCCTCTCCGCGGATCCTCCAGCCAGCCTGCACCCTGCCGCTCCAGCCTGCACCTGCCTCCAGTCAATAAACTGTTACCTTCTTTCGCTACTTGCTCCTCCGTGTCTGTTTTGGGATCCGAACACCACCACAAACCCTAACACCTGGAGCCACATCCATGGCTGAACACAACGTCCTGCTGAAAGACACCACCCCAATCCGGCAGTGGATGTACAGAGTTCCGGAGGTGATGCAAAGACTTGGAGTGATTGAGCGGTCGGAGAGTGCCTGAAAGCAGTCCTGTTGTCCTGGTTCCAAAGGACGTTTCTGCATCGATTTCCGACAGGTAAATGCACAATCACATTTTGATGCATACCCCATGCCCAGGTTGGAAAACCTTATCGAGGCGCACTTCATTTCCACCTTGGACCTGTGTAAAGGCTATTGGCAGGTGCCAATGGCTAAGGAGGCCAGGCCCTTCATAGCCTTCAGAACACCCCAGGGCCTGTTCCAGTTCCACTTTGGCCCAGCGGGAGGTGCGGTACCTGGGACATATCCTGGGTCGGGTGCTGATCAAAGACAAGATTGAGGCGATCCGCGGCCCCAGACCAAGAAGTCCTTTTTGGGATTGGCGGGGTGGTACCGGACGTTTGTACCTTTGCCAGCAGAGCAGCAGCCCTCACGGACCTGACCAGGAAGGCCAGTCCTGTAAGAGTCCGATGGGAAGGACCGCATGAGAAGGCCTTCACTGACTTGAAGAAGGCAATGTGCAGCGACCCAGTGCTGCAGAACCCCGACTTTACCCAGCCCTGGATTGTCAAGACTGATGCCTCTGGAATTGGTCTGGGGGCAGTACTACTCCAGGGTGAGGGGGATCATCAACGACCGGTGGCTTTCATAAGCTGTAAGCGTTTTCCCCGGGAGACCCGATATTCAGCGGTGGAACTGGAATGCCTGGCGGTGAAGTGGGCACTGGACACTTTCAGGTACTACCTGTTAGGTAGAGACTTTGTTCTTGAAACTGACCACCAGGCCTTAAATGTCTTGGCAAGATGGACACTAATTCACGTATAACACGTTGGTTTTTAGGTTTTGCAGCCCTACAGGTTTGAAGGGCGATTCCGCGCCTGCAAACAGAACTTAGTGGCAGATTTCCTGTCTCGCCACCCCAGGGGCGAGTCTCTGTAGGGGGAGAGAAGTGTGAAAAGGAAGAGCCTTTTCCCCAAATTGACTGACAAGTGGACTAGTTCATTCCTTGTTTGGGACAGGGCGCAGAATATATATGTAACCGCCTAAATGTGTACATTAATGTCAGCACTTGATTATATACTTGTTCACATCCACATGACAACAGTGTTGACGTTATGATAAAAAGGTATGTGAATTATCATAATTGTGTTATGTTAACGGACCTGACAGAACCCCCAGCCAGTTGGTTTCTCCCAATTAGCCCAATTGACTGGAAGGCTGTATAAAAGCGAGGGGAACGGGAAACACCGGGAGAGTCTGGAGTAAAGTCACCTCCAGAGAGGTTGTGGTTATTGGGTTCCTTTTTGTATATTTTTGTCCATGAGAAGTGTTTGTTTTCCTGAAGACCACAGAGGATAATAAAGCGGAATGGTTAATTGCATCCCAGAGCGCTGAGCTTTCTTGCCTGCACCTCATCCCAACTCAAACCTCAGTGAGTCCTTGACACCACCATCCTGTGTAGACGTTGGCCTCAAAGGCGCTACATCACACAGCAGGAGACAGAACTAGACCTGCTACCACCGCTTCAAACTATCAATTTAAAATACTAAAGTCACACAATAAAACAAACTAACCAATGTAGGCAGCGCGAGACCTGTGTTTTCAATGTAAAATAGTAAAAGTATACTGGCTTTAAAGAGTATTAGTTAAAGGTCAAATATTCTAAATACGTATAGCGTACACAACTGATATATATTCTAAAGATGTATAATACATTTGGCTTCTGTACTTGTCCCCAGTTATACATTACTTTCCTCCTGTACTGTACTTTCATAGGTGTCACCAAACTGGGGGTGTACAGTGATTGTGGATTTGAATATCCACACATAAAATCCAAACAATTAATGTCATGTTCATTTGAATCCAGTAATTGAAAAAATTGTTTAATACTTCAGTAATTTATATTTTCCTAAAATGTCATTAATGGTTCATTTTAAATAACAAAAGGGTAATGACTTACGGTTCTGTGACTGAATGCAGAAGATGTCATAATTAATCTCCTTCCGGACAAACGAATGAAGCTCTGAATATCCATCAAGCCTGCTCCCTAAAGAGTAAGTCACAACCACATTGCTGCACCGCTGCTTTATGCCACTGCAAACAAAATAAATTAGAAATGATAAGCAAGAACATATATTGTATTCAGACAAATATCACATTGCTTCTTAAAACTCACCGGACTAAGTTCACATCTCTATAGGTTCAATGACCACCTCCTCAGTCTTCTTCGCATTCAACAGGAGATGGTTAGTATATATTAATGTTAATATATATTATATATATATATATATATATATATTTTTACATAGGCTACTTCCATATTGTGTTGAAATGCAAGCTGCATTGGTTCTTGCATTGTTGATAGAAAATCATATTTGTGACAATTTTTTTTTTCTCTTATAAAAAATGAGAGAAGGTAATTCATCTGTTGATTTTCTTTAATTATCAAATAAAGTAGGAAGTGATTAGCAACCTCTGAGTAGCAAACTCAGATTTGAGAAAATTTAGAAAATCGAGATGCATCGATAATCGTTTTATCAGTTTAGAATCTATAATCTGTTTAGAATCAATAATCGGTTTAGAATCTAATCATTGACCTCTAAATCGGAATTGAATCGAATCGTGAGGTGCCAAGAGATTCCCACCCCTACGCATGGGCACGGGTGGGTGTAGGGCTGGAGTCCCTGAAGCAGGCTGGGCTAACTGCCAACCCAGGGAACGGTTCTCTCCATATATAACCTTTAGTAGAACGAGATGGGGGTGGGGGGGTCAGGGATCCTCCAGGCGGGTGCATAATTGAAATCATTTTTTTTTTTTTAACTCGGTTTATTGTTTTAATAGAAAAATTAGTTTGATGATCTGAAACATTTAAGTGGGACAAAAACAGGAATTGGTTAAAAACTTTTTCTTAGCATTGTCTGCTAAGCCGGTCACATTGAAACAAATGCTTATGCTACATTCACACCAAAAGCGAAACAAATTATTTGCGCGAGTAGATTCCATGCAAAGGTGCCAATTTTCAGCAGGTAGCCCGAAAGACTCGGAAGACACGGCGCGGGGAACGCGAAAGGAGAGAAGCGTATAAATCACCTTTTTACCAAAGTTTAAATATTTCAACTTTTAGCTCGTCCGACGCTGTCTTGCGAAAGCCAATCAGTGTTGAGATGCTCTGCTCGTCATCACCGCTACCCCGCAGACAGACACGCAACTGAGCTTGTAAGTTAGTTGGTGTGCGACGTTTGTGTAATTTCCACAACAACTACAGAGCAGAAATAGTGTTTACTTCCATGGTGGATAGCAGAAATGATAACTGCCTTACAGGAGACAAGCTACGGCGATAAGCCACGGCTCCTTTCCGGCACGTATGACGGAGACGCCAATTAAGGCAAATTAACTAGTCCGGCGGGTATTTTTGTTCAGAAGTTGTGGTTTACTGTGTAGAAATGTACATCCTACTGAATTTACCATGCTAGCTGAATTTACAGGTGTGTTACTTTACGTCTGTGTTGTGTACTGGACTTTGTTGACAACTGGCCTTTATTTGACCGTGTTTGTCCTTTTGTTTGACAAATGTTCTTTTAAACTGACTGCAAAAGACACAAGTCTAGTACGCAGCAACCCCCCTCCCCCTTCTTATTTTGGGCGAGGACAGAGACTTGCCTGATAGTGTAAACTGAGCAGCCGGTGAACAGAGCAATCTCCTTACTACATGCTCTGTCACAGCAGCAGTTGATGTCACACACACCCATAAGCTTGTCACAGGGACACAAGCTTCCAACTGAAACACACAGCAACGCTCAGGTTAGACACAGACCCCCAAACAAAGCCTGTTTATTCACCTTGGTGTGAGTCTGCTGTTGACTTCATAAATTTACATTACTAGTCCATTACGTGTCAGCATGTACATTGTATTAAGCTTTTCAGGACTTGTCTCGGTACCTGTGTTTGGCTGTTTTCTAAAAACAAATACATTTTCTGTGTTTTTGTGCATTGATAGATGCAGTGTTTACATATTGTTCTTGCATGTAAGGTTAGAAATGTTGCGCCGGTTAAAATGGAAGCGCTCCGTCAATGCAACGTTAATATCTCAATGATTCCCTCCGTTATAGATCTAAGGTTTGCCCTGTGCAACCCTATGCAAACGATACAAATGTAGGCCTATTGGCGGTATTTTGCAACCTTACACTATTCAAAAACATAGTGGTATTAAAGTTGTATTTTAGCTATGAGCCAGACAGATTTACTTGATTTGATTTAAACTTAACAGTTCATTTTGATATGTAAGAAGACAGTTACGGTTAACTGGTCGCACAATGACTTTGTAGAACAGTGTATGGTGGTTGACGTTAGCTAGCTATGTGACGTGACGTAGAATTAATAATTGAGGAGTACATTGCGAAAGCCACAGATTACCTGTGGTACCAGGAGTGAGCAGGCGGCCGGAGACGGGCAGGGGCTCAGCGGGCGTTGTTGACTGAACGGGCTCCTCTGGGCTGCTGAACCTCGGTGTTTTCGGGATTGTCGAATCAAACTCTGTCGGCTGTGTAGTTGTATAGTTGTCTTTAACACTATATGATACGTTCTGGAATTCAGTATTCAAGCCATAGTGTGTTGTATTTTCGTGTGTAGTCACGGCAGTATACAAGAGAAATAAACCGAAAACGTTTAAAATGGACCAAAACACAGTGGCGGATAACTCCATTTTTGTTTCAATCGTTGCTATGGTTCTTCTTCTTCGTTCTTTCCGTTAACGGGTTACTGCCTCGAAGGAAACATCACTGCCACCTGCTGGCCGAAAAGGGGTTGTTCCAGTTTACCGACGTGAAGGAAATTAAGTTTTGAGATAAGGTATTAAAGTGAACGATGTTTCTCATGTCACTTTATAGCGGACCTGAGGCCTCATTTATAAAACCTTGCGTAGGATTTGCGCCAAAAGTGGCGTACGGATGAAACGTAGGACGTGCGTACGCACAGAAATATTCAGACTATTGCGCACGCACGTCCTACACAGTTTTCCCTTGATAAATCACAATCACTTCTAAATGCAGCGCAGCTTTTGCGGCTTCAAGCCACGCCCATGGTTGCCTATATATAGTCTGTGGAACGCCCACAAATGAATATTCATCGATTGGGAAATCATGACAAAGACTGATAGGAAAACGAAGAAATGTAACACTCAGTGTGAAGTCGAAATGATCATTGGCGAGGTGGAAAGGAGAAGTAACATGCTTTTTGGAGGGTAAAGTATGGGCATCACTAATGCTAAAAAGGCACTTGAGTGGCGAAAGGTTGCAGAGCAACGCTGCAGCCTCACAACCTAGGACCGTGGCCGAAATTAAGAATAAATGGACTGACATCAAAGTGGATGCAAAAAGCGTTTAGCGCGCCATCGCCAAAGTGTGTCTGCCACGGGTGGGAGAAAGGGACACCGGAGCTGCCCTCTTGATGAGAGACTGGCGGCAATAATTGGGGATCGGGGACAGGGTCTGGGCCAACATCGGCGTCGGGGGGGTCGAGGCACGTTTCGAAGCTGTGCCACTTTATGTAGCACTGCACACGCCAGCACGATTTTGCAGACCTTTTCAGTAGTAGATAATAACCTCCCTCCAGCGCAGCCGAGGCAGCGCCATCTGCCCTTAAACAGGCCGATGGTGTGCTCCACTACAGCGCGAATCCTTCTATTTGCCACATCTTCTATAGAGCGCAAGATCAGCATTTTCGTCATTCGTCATTTCGCATTGTGATGGCATCATGGCCGTTTTCATTCATTCATTTCATTACCGTCCATTTGATTGCATATGACAATCAACAGCTGTGTTGAAGATGAATTGCATAACATGCCAATATTATTGCAGAACATATTTAACTTTTCTTTTTTTAAATGTGTTAATTTGTATTTATGTTTGTTTTACGCTGCAGATCGATCAATCGGATGTTCATATTATTATTATGAGACGCAGTATTGGCATTTATTTTACAGCAGTCTAGTTTTACACACTTTCACACACGTTTGCCTGTTTCTTGCATTTGCCGACTGTTCTCATTTCACCCGTTTTTGTGCGTACGCATGGGTCCGAGCTTGCGTGAAGGACCGTACATTTTTCCGTCAAGTTTGATTTTTATAAATACCAATTATTGCGTAGAGAGCGGCGTACGCCTTCTTTTGTGCGTACGCAAGTTTATAAATTAGGCCCCTGCTGTTACAAGTTGTTGAGTGATTCTAGTGTTTAAGTAGGGCCTACTTAAAAACGTACTTAATACTTAAATATTTAACATTTATTCTAGTTTAACTAACATAATAATGATAGTTATTCTCTCAAACAGGTCTTGGAGGAGAGAATGCCCCAGCCTTGCAGAGACATGCAGACAGGCGGAGGAGATGTGCAGGAAAAGTATTTATTTGGCACAGATATCTTATTTTACAAATATTACTGGGTATATTCCATATTCCAAAAAAACAAATATTGACTTTATCATAATTTAGAATACATTCAAGTATTACTTTTTATTTGAAAAACAGATACAATTTGTCTTTCCAAATTGAGTATTATATAAACACATCTCCCTGAAGTGATTACTTACGAGTCCATTTAGAATTTAGCCCACAAAGTATTTGCTGTACTCGTATGTCAATTTATAATGTTGTGTTTATAGCTGGATTGATGTTTTGTTGTCTACAAGACAAACAAAAGCACAACAAAATATCACATTTTCACCTCATAGGGATTTGTTAGCAAACTGTATTTACATATTGAAGCAGATATACATATGCATTTTTTGGAGCCTGTATTTTGCCTAGCCCTGGCAGTAGCTTAGACATGTTCTCGCTTAACCATTGATTTGTATTGGATTGAAAGCTTAAACTCAGACTGCGTTCAATGTTAAAATTTCGGGTTGCAGTGGTTTGGTTTTTCACAAGATGGCAGTGAAAGCCAGTGCAACACTTAAGTACTAATATTATCAGGCTTTTATCAAATGGAGAACAATGCGCTATGTACAGTGCATCCAGAAAGTATTCACAGCGCTTCACTTTTTCCACACTGTTATGTTACAGCCTTATTCCAAAATGGATTAAATTAATTATTTTCCCCAACCTTCTAGACACAACTCATAATGACAAAGTGAAAACTGATTTTTGCAAATCTGTTAAAAATAAAGAATGAAAACATAACATGTACACAAGTATTCACAGCCTTTGCCATGACACTGAAAATTTAGCTCAGGTGCATCCTGTTTCCACTGATCATCCTTGAGATGTTTCTACAACTTGATTGGAGTCCACCTGTGCTAAATTCGGTTGATTGGACATGATTGAGAAAGGCAGACACCTTTCTATATAAGGTATTACAGTTGGCCGTTCACTCAGAGCATAAACCAAGCCATGAAGTAGTGATGGCAAAGTGAAGCTTTCTGAACCAGTGAAGCTTTTCAGCCAATTGTATCGGAAAAAGGTTAATTCATTCAATGCATCGCAAACTCTATGATGACCTCTGCTGTTGAAAACCTATAGTGCATATGTTTCAAATAGCCTATCAGTGTATTTTGGCCCAATCTCTGTGGGTTGAACATGATTATGAAAAGTTGAACCAATAAATCATCTAATAAATACATGGATTCCTATATGAATAAAACTATTGTTTTTCTGGTGTGAATTGTGTCCTTGTTTGTGTATTTCAATTCTCTGTACATTGGGAAGAAGTGGAACAAACACTTATGTCTTTCTGCACCTTTGTGCATGTATGTTTGTGATCATACTAGCAGAAGAATTAATAGAAGAGATATGAGTTATATGTAATCAATATAATTTAAAATACCAGCAAGTGCTTCCTACTGCATGGGCAGTTCATGGCAGTCATAGGGATTATGTGAATTGTTTGAATCTGGAACGTGGGAAGTGATTTACAGAGGAAAGATCAGTGGGGCAGTGATTGTGCTTTTGGACAGGTTTGTTATGACAGGATATTGAGGTGCTTGTGGACACATAGGATGGGGCAGGAAATGATTATTGATTTTTATTGAGAAACATATTTCTCCACAGTATTGGTGTTGAGTCGGTTTCTTTTTGTAGATACTATTTCCCCCGCCTTAGAAAAAACGCGCTCACACGGCACGGATGAGGCAGGAACGCTCAAAAGATTACGTGCTAATAAAAATAGATGTGGGTACACATGTTTGTGTTTGACCCAATATTTTAGCGGTTCTTCACTCCATGGAATGTTTAGCTCAGCCAAATATCTGGTGGTCTCCACAATAAAAACATCCATAATTACACAATACAAATGACAGTTTGACTTTGCCTGCCTACATTACATTACATTACATTACATGTCATTTAGCTGACGCTTTTATCCAAAGCGACGTATAATAAGTGCATTCAACCATAGGGTACAAACTCAGGAGAACAAGAAACAAGAAAGTGCAATTTCCTCAAATAAGCCAATTTACAATTTGCTATAGATGAGTGACGTTACAAGTACAATTTAAGTGCTACAATTTGTTAGTCTTTAGTCGAGGTAGAGTCTGAAGAGGTGTGTCTTTAGTTTGCGGCGGAAGATGTGAAGGCTCTCTGCGGTCCTGATGTCTTCAGAGAGCTCGTTCCACCATTTCGGCGCAAGGACAGCGAAGAGTCGAGACCTAGTCGAGTGTTTTGCTCTCAGTGAGGGAGGGACGAGTAGTTTTGCAGATGCAGAGCGGAGAGTGCGGGTTGGGATGTAGGGTTTGACCATGTCCTGGATGTAAGCTGGACCCGATCCATTCACAGCATGGTACGTGAGTGTTTTGAACTGGATGCGGGCGGCCACCGGTAGCCAGTGAAGAGAGCGGAGGAGTGGAGTAGTGTGGGAGAATTTCGGAAGGTTGAAGACCAGTCGAGCTGCTGCATTCTGAATGAGCTGCAGAGGTCGAATGGCGGTGGCAAGGAGACCTGCCAGGAGGGAGTTGCAGTAGTCCAGGCGGGAGATGACAAGAGCCTGAATCAGTACCTGCGCTGCCTTCTGAGTGAGAAGGGGACGTATTCTCCTGATGTTGTAGAGCGTGTATCTACAGGATCGCGTTGTCGCGGTGATGTTGGGAGTCAGGGAGAGTTGGCTGTCGAGTGTGACGCCGAGGTTCTTAGCAGTCGAAGTGGGCGTTAGTACGGAGTCCCAAAGTTGACTGTCAGGTCCTGGGTAAGCGAATCTTTTCCGGGAAAGAGAAGTAGTTCAGTCTTGTCGGGGTTGATTTTCAGATGGTGGGCGGACATCCACTGAGAGATGTCAGTTAGACAGGCAGAGATCCGAGCCGCCACCTGGGTGTCCGAGTGAGGGAAGGAGAGAATTAGTTGGGTGTCATCGGCATAGCTGTGGTAAGAGAAGCCATGCGAGCGAATGACAGCACCAAGAGAGTTGGTGTAAAGCGAAAACAGGAGGGGACCCAGCACGGATCCCTGAGGAACTCCAGTAGTAAGAGGACACGGTTCCGACACAGATCCTCGCCAGGTTACCCGGTAGGTGCGGCCATCGAGGTAGGACGAGAGAAGGGAGAGAGCAGAGCCTGTGACACCAAGTTCCTGAAGGGAGGATCTGGTGGTTGACCGTGTCAAATGCAGCAGAGAGGTCCAGAAGGATGAGGACAGAGGAGAGAGAGGCGGCTCTAGCAGTGTGGAGTTGCTCAGAGACAGCAAGGAGAGCAGTCTCTGTGGAGTGGCCTGCCTTGAAACCTGACTGGTGGGGGTCAAGGAGGTTGTTACAGTGGAGATAAGAGGAGAGTTGATTAAAGATAGCACGTTCAAGGGTTTTGGACAAAAAGGGAAGAAGAGAGACCGGTCTGTAGTTGTTTTCTTCAGAAGGGTTGAGGGTGGGTTTCTTCAGGAGAGGGTTGACTCTTGCCTCCTTCAGAGAATTGGGAAAACAGCCAGATGACAGAGCGTTGTTGATGAGAAAGGTAAGGAACGGAAGAAGGTCAGGTGCGATAGATTGTAGAAGATGTGATGGAATGGGGTCAAGAGGGCAGGTGGTCGGACGGGCAGAGGTTACTAGGGTAAGAATTTGGTTAGGAGAGAGGGTGGTGAAAGAGGGAAGTGAGGGCGAAAGAGGTGAGGTCGGTGGGACGCGAGAAGTAGGAGGTGGGTTTGAGAAGGAGGAGCGTATGTCAGCTATTTTCTTGGTGAAGTAGTTGACAAAGTCTCCCGGAAGAAGGGTGGAGGGGGGAGGAGGGGTAGGGGGTTCGACGAGATTGGAGAAGATCGAGAAGAGTTTTTTGGGGTTAGAGAATGAGGATTCGATTTTGGATTGGTAGAAAGAGCTTTTGGCAGCAGAGATAGAGGCAGAGAACGAGGAGAGGAGAGATTGAAATTCAAGCAGGTCGTCAGGTCGTTTATATTTACGCCATCTCCTTTCCGACGCTCGCATGGTGGCTCTCATGGCACGGACCGGTTGAGACAGCCATGGAGCGGGAGGGGATTTGCCAGTCCGTCGTGTCGTAAGAGGGCAGAGAGAGTCTAGAGAGGAGGAAAGAGTTGAGAGGAGAGTCTCTGCAGCAGCGTTCGGATGCAAGAGTGAGAAGGAGTCAGTTGAAGGGAGAGCTGATAGAACAGAGGATGCCAGCGAGGAGGGAGAGAGGGAGCGAATATTGCGACGAGCCGGTATAGAGTTAGTCAATGAGGGAGGTTTGTTAGTTATAGAGAGTGGAAGGGAGTAAGAGATGAAGAAGTGATCAGACACATGAAGTGGAGTTACAGAGAGGTTAGTGGTAGAGCAGTTTCTAGTAAAGATGTAGTCAAGGTGATTGCCGGCTTTGTGAGTAGGAGGAGAGGGACTGAGTGACAGAGCGAAGGAAGAAAGTAGGTGTAAGAGGTCAGATGACTTCTCTGTCTGGATGTTGAAGTCACCCAGGAGGATGAGCGGAGGTCCATTTTCGGGGAAATTAGACAGGAGAATGTCCAGTTCTTCCAAGAAATGACCTAAGGAGCCTGGCGGACGGTAGAGGACAATGATGGTTAATTGTACCGGGTGAGTGATTGTTACAGCATGGAATTCAAAGGACAATGGGGTGGATGGTGGTAGAGGGTAGAGAGAAAAGCTCCATTTGGGTGAAATGAGTAGACCTGTGCCACCACCCCTACCAGTGGGCCTGGGAGTGTGCCTATTGCCAACCTTGTTAGAGGAAATCAAATTGAAGTGCTCCCACATCTCGGAGCGACCTCTCTTTGCCACAGGTTCCATTGTAAATTTACTCTTTGCTACTACTACTCGCAACAACACTGATTTTGACTGTATCAAACCGACAAGCCCGAACCCTGTTTCGATCCCATTGAATTAAATCGAAGCGGTCACGTGACTGTGCGAAGCTTCGGACGTCACTGATCACGTGATCAGCAGCGAACGAACCAAGCACCGATACATTTGCTTCGCCTTGCACTGGTTCATATTTCGACACAAGCTTCGAAGCAGGAGGGTCGGAGGTAACAACACTACCATGAAGTCCAAGGAATTATCTGTAGACCTCCGAGACAGAATTGTATCGAGGCACAGATCTGGCGAAGGGTACAGAAAGATTTCTGCAGCATTGAAGTCCCAATGAGCACAGTGGCGTCCATCATCCGGAAATGGAAGAAGTGTTGTTCTATGAAGAGAGGAGAACCTTCCAGAAGGACAACAATCTCTGCAGCACTCCACAAATCAGGCCTGTTTGGTAGAGTGGCCAGATGGAAGCCACTCCTCAGTAAAAAGCATATGACAGCCCGCCTGGAGTTTGCAAAAAAGCACCTGAAGGACTCCCAGACCATGAGAAACAAAATTCTCTGGTCTGATGAAACAAAGATTGAACTCTTTGGACTGAATGCCAATCGTCATGTCTGGAGGAAACCAGGCACTGCTCATCACCTGGCCAATACCATCCCTACAGTGAAGCATGGTGGTGATAGCATCATGCTGTGGGGATGTTTTTCAGCGGGAGGAACTGGGAGACTAGTCAGGATTGAGGGAAAGATGAATGCAGCAATGTAGAGAGACATCCTCGATGAAAACATGCTCCAAAGCGCTCTGGACCTCAGACTGGGGCGACGGTTCATCTTCCAACAGGACAACGACCCGAAGCACACAGCCAAGATAACAAAGGAGTGGCTTCGGCACAACTCTGTGAATGTCCTTGAGTGGCCCAGCTAGAGCCCTGACTTGAACCCGATTGAACATCTCTGGAGAGATCTGAAAATGGCTGTGCACCGACGCTCCCCATCCAACGTGATGGAACTTGAGAGGTTCTGCAAAGAAGAATGGGAGAAACTTCCCAGAAATAAGTGTGCCACGCTTGTGGAATCATACCCAAGAAGACTTGAGGCTGTAATTGCTGCCAAAGGTGCTTCAACAAAGTATTGAGCAAAGGCTCAATACTGAATACTTATGTACATGTTATGGTTTTGTTCTTTATTTTTAACAGATTTGCAAAAAAATTGTAAAAAACAGTTTTCACTTTGTCATTATGGGTTGTTGTGTGTAGAATGTTGAGGAAAATAATGAATTAAATCCATTTTGGAATAAGGCTGTAACATAACAAAATGTGGAAAAAGTGAAGCGCTGTGAATACTTTCCGGATGCACTGTACATAGAAACAACCAAATACACAGCCATAGTGATTGAGTGATTAAGAGATGAATATAAAACCAAAAAGAGAATTGCTCTGATTTGAAAAAAAAAAACACTAAAATAGGTCCATTAGATAAGAACTGGATGGGGCCAATGGTCTGTACTTGTATAGCGCTTTTCTAGTCTTCCGACCCCTCAAACCGCTACATGATATCATTCACACACTGATGACAGGACCAACCATGCACAAACTGTGTATCAAGCTGTGTCGCAAAGTCGCTAGGCTGCATCCTTGTAGCTTGCAGCATTCAGCAGCCTTTGCGGTAGACCTGGGCTGCATCCATCAGCAGCCTTCGCGGTACACCTGGGCTGCGTCCTTCAGCAGCCTTCGCGGTAGACCTCGGCTGCGTTCTTCAACAACCGCATATGCTGAACCAAGTGGTCTCTGAAATGGGACGGTCTGGCCAGCAGTGGGACTTCCTGGTGGCGTAATCAGCTTTACTTCCACTGCTCCCGTTGCCTAGCAACCTGCTGAGCTTAACAATAAAAGCCTTAAAATCCAAAAACGTATAAAATACAGAAGAACATTTTCCGGTTATTTTAAATTCAAATTAAATTAATTCATGTATAATACTTTACTAATTTAAAATTACTTTCAGCTAAAAGTAATATTGCAATTTTAAGGCAAAGGAGATCAATGTTCGCGTAATGTCAGTACACTAGGGGTGTAACGATTCATTTTAACAACGATTCGATTCGAATGGTTCATGGTTGCCGATTCGATTCATGGACGATCTGGGTTAATTTAGAATGATTCGATTCAGTGACTTAAAATCGATCCAGTAACTTTACTGGACAGTGCAGGCAAAGTTTCTGAGATCCTTGTTGTTTCTTGTAAGGAAATCAGGTTTAAATTAACTATGGATATTATAAACAAGCAAACAACAATTGATGGCAAATGTATTAACCTTTTATTGTTCAACCATTTTCAATGTAAACATTACACAATAATTACACAACGTTTGGATCAATTTACAGAACCCCGGATTTTCAACCACATTGTAGAGTTGCATGTCTTTACAGCAGAGGTCTTCAACGTTTTTCAAGCCAAGGTCCCCCAAACTAATGGCGAGGTGGAGCAGGGACCCCCTACAGAGTTTGGTCCGCCATCTTTTATTTTTGAGCTTCACGCTCTTTAGACGTGAGCATAAACGCGATCTGATTGGCTGGTGCCTGCGCTGTCGTATTCGCATGAAAGGAGCAGTGAGTGAACCGGTGCCCAGCTTGAGAGCTGCTGTGGGAAGCTGAATGTGTGTGTTGCGGACTGACAGATAATGTCTTCTCCATCAATTTATCCGCTCGCTTCAATATGTTGGATTCATGTTAATGTGTATTTAAAGACCATAAATACAATTCTGATTCTGAAGACATTTACATTTGTGGGGAAAAAAATTGTCTTATCAACCAAAAATTTCTCGACCCCCCTGCAGTACCTTCGCGGACCCCCTGTTGAAGACCTCTGCTTTACAGCTAAACTTGGCAATTGTTACTGTGATGTTGAGTTTCGTGCTGGCGAGGCCTGAGGTGTCTGCAGAGCTGGAGTTACCTGCTGCTGCTGCTGCTGCTGCTGCAGCGGTAACGCTGCTAGAGGTGCCTGACTGTCGGCGTTGTTTAATCCCATAGCGCCTTAGTAGATGGCCGGAAAAATTCGTCGCGTTTCCGTGGTTTTTTATTTGTCTTCTACATATTCTGCAAACAGCGACCGACTTATTTAGAACACCTCCGTGTTTGCAAAAGCCAAAATGTTTCCACACGCTGGATCGATAAGTTGGTTTGTAAATGTCTTCCTCGCAGTCGTCTCCTCCACGCTGTGTTTTGCCGCTGCGTACTAATGACATCACAGACAGGCAGACTGAATCGAGAAACGTTTAACGTGTCTAAAGTGCTAAAAAACAAACAAACAAACACACATCCATACAGTTTTTGTGCTTAAATCCAATGTGCGGTTTCAAAGTATCGATACAAATCGATTATGTACCATTTTAATCGATTTGTAATCAATATATGTTGTCCGGAATGCCGATTTGCTGAGCACAGATCGATTCAGTTGGATGGCAGGAATATAAATCGATTAATCGATTCAGTGGATGAATCGTTACACACTACAATACACACATCTTTCTCCTTTAGCTTGATGCTTCCTCCTGGCTCTAATTGTAGGTAAGTTAGTTCATAATCACACCACAAAACAAAACAAGCAAAGCAAGTTCAGTTTTTTTGTTTATTTATTCTGTAACGTTACTGACTTAGAAAGTGATATTTCAGGTTCATACCTTGTCTGCCTGAGCTCACTTTGATCCATTTCTGTTCATAATATGAAGCAGGGGTCACCAACAACCAATAGTTGCATGATAATTTCACTTCAAACGGATAGTGCACATCCCCAAAGTTTTACTCAGCGATAACCGGGACATTCTGATGTAGTATTTCAAAATGAAAGCCTCTCAAAATACCATATATGAGCCAATTTCCTTCAAATTCTCCATAACGAGACAACTTTTGGTCAATTTCAGATTAGATTTAAAAGGAAACTATCAATAGTTACGTGATTATTTCAATTCAGACTAATAGTATACATCCCCAAGGTGTCACCCAGGGATAAGTAGGATATTCTGATTTACTATTCCAAATAAAAACCTCTAAAAATACCATAAACGAGCCAAAATATCAATCACAAGACTACATCTGGTCAATTTCAGATTAGATCTAAAGGGAAAAAAACAATAGTTACACAGTATTTCCACTTCAGGCAGAGAGTACACATCCCCAAGGTCTCACTCTGTGATAACCAGGACATTCGGATGTACCATTTTAGAAATTTAAGCCTCTCGAAATGACACTTTTGTTTTAAATTGGATACTAGAAAATTTGACTCACTGTTACCAGTAGGTGGCGCTATGACTTGATTCAATTTTACATCTCTTCAGGCCCAGAGTCTCATCAAACATGTGAAAGAATCTGATGATGTGGAGTAGAGTTACAACGGTTTAGTTGTTCTTGGCGAAGGATCAGCTTTGCCGATGCACCCTCTCGCCACCAATCGGATTCTTATCATTTTCACACTGAAGCATAAGGTCTTACCTCTCTGCTAGGATATTTTGAGAGGGATCAGATTAACCTTTGTGGAGCATATACTGTGAGGGGCAGGGTGTAAAATAAAAAAAACATTCAACTTCCTGTTTTCCCCAGGTGACGCTATGACTAAGGTTAAAAATGATCTTATGGATGTCTACAAGGTGAGAAGTTCATGCTATATGACCAATATGGAGCAGATACTATAAAGTATAGTTGAGTTAAAACGACTTCATTTTTCATGCCGAATGGTAGTTTTTGGAAAATGCTCCCATCACACAGTTTGGAATTTCTTCCGGCAAAATAACATTTTTAGAGCTAAGGTCCTCAAGATCACATTGCGCAAATTTGAAAAGAATCGGGTTTAATCCCTGGGAGGAGTTCGGTGTTTTACAACTCTAATAAATCATAATAGAAAGGAAATAGGCCAAAAAGGCAGATTTTCAACTATTAATAGCAGCGCCCCCTATTCTTCAAACATTCTCATAAAACTTGCCAGATCAAGCCACACCCCTTGCGAAGTTCATTAGCCCATATCTTCTGAAAACAATGAGGTATCAACACGATTGCTATGTATCAGGGAGGCATAGATCCAATGATGATCGATGGAACATTTTCGTGACAATCGGAGATAGCGTTTAGGAGAAATGGCCAAAAATGTGTTTTTCACAAAATTAAAAATGGCGGAAAATCTAGTTAAGTGCATTTGCATACCATGATTTACATTTTTGTAGAGCATGTCCACGAGCACATGTGTGCCGAAATTGTCGATCGGACATCGGGGGGGTAAACTGGCCTAGTGGGGTACTTTTTTACCTTTCTGGGGGGCGCTATGGAGACATTTCTTCGTACTGTCGGGGTCTCCGATCCCCCCCGAGTTGGTTGTTGAGAAGGATCGCAACACGTTGATCAATTAAAGTCAAAAAGTTAACATTTATGTAGCCGGGTGAAGTGGGGGAAGGGAGGTTTTCGGACTGCTAGATGGTCGGCACACAGGGTGAGGGCGTACTGTCACTTTAAGTACATTGGCATGAGTCAAGTGGGATTTGGAGCTGCAGAGCGGGACCTGGTGGCTACTGACGACGACACAGTGTTAGCGGTTAGCATCGTAACAGCGTTAGGGAAATACCTGTTCAGCAGGTCAGCGTAAGTGTTATCACATTAATAAACCTGACTCAACGTGTAAATTGTGATTGATTGACTGTTAACTGAGTGTATGTTCTTGGGTTATGCACCTCTGCTTCGTTTAGAGGGGAGTAACAAGCTGCCGTGGGTTGAGGTCGCACGTGCATGGAGCCGTGCGCGCCGGCGCCTGAGTGAGTTTATTGTTTTCGGGACTTTTGGAGCAACGACCGTGGTGTGCGTGTTGAACAGCATGAGACCGATGTGCATGTTCTTTGTCTCTGTTTAACAGGAAGGGGTCACTGCTGTTGTTTTTTATGTAACTGTTAGCTTCATGTAATTGTTAGCTTAAGGTAATTGTTAGAGCAGATATATCTGGCTCTAACTATTACTTGCAAGCAGGAGGTCGAATACACAAGCATGTATTTCAGCGCTCTGTGTAATGGCGTCTCCAAGCAGTAAAAATGCTGAGGTTTTATACACATGTAAAGGCCATTCTCAGTGCCAGTTACGAGAAGCTGCAAACCAGGTTGAGATAAGAACCCAGGTGAAGATGAGGCTAGCACACACACACACACACACACACACACACACACACACACACACACACACACACAGCAAGATCATCCTCAGTGGCCGGTGCAAATCATAATTAATTGACATAAAGTACCAAATAAGATATGAACCAAGGCCATGAACAGAAGTCCTTTGTTTTGAAGCGTCTATGAGATCGAGTCGACCGCCCTCCCTTCTTAGGACACAGCTGCAAACTAACATTTTGTATCATGCTGCTCTTTGCACGTCAGGGTCAAATACGGACACTTGAGACACGGGTTTAGCACAAGACAATGTTATAACATATTTTACCATTACAGCTCTCCAATCTGATCCATTCTCTCGTAAACATTCTTTGTTTTAATAATGGCGGTATTGTGCTGTTAAAACGGAAATGTGAGACTCCGTAAAGGATGTAGTTAGCGGACCAATTGCAGCCTTGTGCGCTGCGGGAGGAAAAATGGGTTGACGCACGCAAGCACGCAGGAGGTGTGAAAAGGCACGCAAGGGACACTTAAGGGGCTCTTGCGTCTGCGTTTCCTTGCGTCGCTCTGAAAACGCAGAAGCATAAACTAGGCTTAAGAGCAGATTGTTCTAAAGTCCTATGTGAGTTAAAAAACACGACATCGGTTACCGTCACATAACTGGTTTCATAAACCAGATGTGATTATATATATTATAACATTTCTGTTATAATATATATAGGGGGTTGGTTACCCCCTTCCTAGCATGCTCTCAACAGTTGACTTAAGATAAAGTCAAATTAGAACTGTTATAGGTTTAACTTGACACAACATTATTAGTTACAGTACAATAACTTTGAGCATTAATAACATGGATACCTCAGTGACTTCAATGTAAACCAATATGACAGACATGAACTACGGTTATGTGGTTATACCCCCACAGTTGGTCTTTTCACAATTTTGTGGACTTTTATTCTGTTACTCAGTTACGATACTGTTGCATGTTTTGGCCTCTAGATGGCGCTGTAATACCAGGGATAATGCTGTTTTCATGACGCTTGGAAGAGACAAAGCAAACCGAGACGTTGTTGTAGAGAGAGCGCGAAAGGAAGCAGTTGGTGCTTGTAAAGTGAGCTGTATTATGTGTAAAGTGTGTATAATAATATGATAAAATGAAGACAGCCTTTCCCAGCACACTATTGAGATTTATGCAACAAAATTGGCGCCTAAACAGGGACTCAAAGTGATGTAAAAAGACGTCTGAAGAAAGAAAAGAAACATGGAACATGCAAAATGGAGCTGGAGCAGCTACAGGATAACGGAGCTACTGTGTCGGCTAAAGATTGAACAGCTAAAAGAGGTGCGCAAGACAAAGTTTCACCAGATAAGGAGAAGAGGCACACATGATGTAGCAGAGACATGGGTGCAAGAGTTGTTAGTGTAACAGATGTGTTTAGGGCATGGAAGTAGTCGACTCAGGTACTGATCTTTTCAGCATTTATTTGCTCCTGCAGAAGACAATAAAACACAGACATTGCCTTCTGGTCTCTGCACATCAGCTCCCTACACACAGGGTCTTCAACAGTGTAACACTACTGTGTAGGAAAAACGGGACTCCCGCAAAATCTAAATTATAGCTTGTCAAAGATCCAAATTGTGACAAAAAAGGGGAGAACAACCCCAAGTGAACAAAATAAATAACAGTGATAACTGCAAAAATTCCAGCATTAAAACAAAAGAAAACACATACCTGCAGAAGACAATAAAACACAGACATTGCCTTCTGGTCTCTGCACATCAGCTCCCTACACACAGGGTCTATGGAGGGGAACGTATACGTCAGGACGACCGGATGTAGCGAGTACAAACGGCGCGAAATTAAACAATGACCAAACGTATACTTTTATCACCACTCCATCGAATAATGACGCACCACAGCTGAGAACCGTGGTCATGTTACCCACGCTAATGGTAGCTGATGTTAACAGTTATAATTGAGAACATAGCGAAATAGTGCAACGTCGTTTTTTTTTCTCAACTTACCTTCAACAGTGTAACACTACTGTGAAGGAAAAACGGGACTACGGAAGCCTAGGAGGCGCAGTAGAGATGAATCGCAATTTCCGCAAATTTGACTCATCAAAATAAAATTCACAGACACACGTTCAACAAGATTGTTAAATAATAACCAAAAAAATAAAATACAATACTTTGAAAATGACAGTGTATTTCTAACTCAGTTACATTCACCCCCACTTGCACGCCATAGAAAACATTACAAATTGACAACTCACAAAGGGCCAACATCCAGAAAACCAACAAAAAAAATGTATCCCATAAGGATGAAGTGGTATGAGAGCAGCGCAGGCCTCTCAACCCAACAACTGGCAACAGGGTGCCTTGTACACCCCACAAGACCCAAACACAAAGTGCAATGCAGTACAGGCTCATGACAAAAAAACAATAAGGACAGTGAAACATTATACCAACACACGTTTTTCAGCCATAAAAAGGCATAAGCCACCCACTCATAGTATTAAAAGGTAACAACCTCAAGCTATTCCTGGACAACATCCTGCCTGGACATAGTCTGTATAAGCCTATTCACAGGATTGATTAAGCGACCAAATCTTGACCTGACCTGCGCATTAAAACGACCAGGGTGTGCGGGTGAGACCTGGACCACAGTATGCAAAGAATCAGACGTGTTATCTGTCTGTGTCATGGTATCGAGTGCAAAGTCTGACTGCCTAAGATCTGTCGAGACGTCCGCAGCAGTCGAAGGGCAAGAATAACAAGTCACAGATTGATCAGTGGTGCTGCCCTCAAGTGAGATAGTTGCGTTCTGGGGATCAGAAGCAACACTCATGTCAACAATGCACGCCTCAGCCAGGCTTGGCCCAGACAACTGAGTAATCCATTCAATGGTTCTGCTCTCCGAATCCACGGGCACCGCATCGGTCAAGGGACCCTGTCCGTCCGTCACAGTCACAGGGGACTCACTGTCACCTTCAGTGTCAAAGCTTTGACTAGCCACACTGAGAGACTCCCTCCCTCTCCCAGACGAGGTCTCTTCTGCCTCGCCACCATCATGTCCTGAAACGGAGGACCCCGTACCGAGCAAGGATGAGGCCAGATCTGATATGTCACATGTATCCCCCACAGGAAGAAAATTAACCAGCATCAGCAAGTTCCTGTGGACCACCTTCTCCCGTCCAGTGATTGTGTCGCGGATCCTGTATGTGTGTGTCTCTGTATTCACATCTACCACAGTGTAGACTGTCGAGTCCCACCTGTCAGCAAGCTTCTTTTTACCCCTCTCCTTCCTGTTGGCCAGGAGCACCCTGTCACCCATGTTTAAATTGGATCCCTTTACTCTCCTGTTGTACAGCTGGGCATGTCGATTCTGCTCCTTTGTAGCATGAACCTGAGCAATGACCATTGATTCCTTCAGATCGTTGGCGAGACTGGCCACATACTTCTCATAGCTCACCACAGCAGAGTCATGAAGAACAGCACGAAAGAGGACATCCACAGGTAGGCAGGGGATCCGACCAAACATGAGGTAGAATGGGGAGTAACCTGTCGTCTCATGTTCCGTACAGTTGTACATGAACGTTAAGGTCTGTAAGCGCCGAGGCCAGTCAGCCTTCTCTTCCGGGGGCAGTGCTCGAATCATACCACCCAGGGTTCGGTTGAAACGTTCCACACTCCCATTCCCCATTGGGTGATAGGGGGTTGTGTGTGATTTCTTGACACCTGAGATCCTGAGAAGCTCACCAATCAGCAGACTCTCAAAGTTAGCACCCTGATCACTATGGATTCTTTCTGGGAATCCAAAGACACAGAAATACCGGTCCCATAGAACCCTAGCCACCTGTTTAGCTGTCTGGTCTTTACATGAAAATGCCTGAGCCATTCTCGTGAAATGATCAGTTATCACCAGAACGTCAACAGACCTGTTCCTGGAGTCTTCAGCCGACCAAAAGTCAATGCAGACCAACTCCAGCGGCCGGGTTGTCATTATACTCTCCAGCGGGGCCCGTCCTTCAGGCTCGACTGTCTTGCTTACGATGCATCGCTGACAATGACGAACATAGTCTCTTACATCTCTGTCAAGGTTTGGCCAGAAAAACCTCTGTCTCGCCAAGCTCAGACTCCTGGACTGAGCTTGATGTCCAGCCCTATCGTGAATCCCTTGCAGAACCTCAGTCTTCAGTGAGTCAGGGACAATGTATTGAAAGCACTTTGCTTTGGTCTTCTGATCTCTTGAAGTCCTGTACAGCACGCCATCCTTCACGGTCAGCCTATCCCAGTGCTTCAGGTACCGTGTGACCAGAACAGACTCATTGAATCTTTCCCTTCTAGAAGGCCTCCGATGTCTCTCAACGTAAGACAGAACACGAGAGAGGGTCCTGTCTTCGGACTGCATATCACAGAGGTCCTTCACAGTGTAAGCAGGTAAGGCGTCTTGTCCAGGAGGAAACAACTGAGGTAAGTGCTGCAACACCTCAAGGGCACGGAACCTCGGACCATCCTCCCATCCAACGCGTGACTGTAATACAGCAGACACGTCCTCCTTTGCAACAGACTGAATGTGCATACGCAGTGGACTGCATGCAGACTGGGCATTGTTACTCAAAGGGGAGGGCTCCCTGTCATGACTGGATGACCGAAAAGCATTTTGGACAGAGAAACTTGACATGTCTTTGACTTCTGCGAGGAGACTCGCATAGGGTTCAGCGAGCAGCCTGTGACCAACACTCGCCTTGACGAACGGCACACGACTCAGGGCATCAGCTACTATGTTCTGTGGCCCCGGAACGTACTTGATATCAAAGTCGTAACTTGCCAACTTGGCAACCCAGCGTTGCTCACAACAATCTAGCTTCGGCTTTGTCAGAATGTGCGTCAACGGGTTGTTATCCGTCCAGACAGTGAATTTGTGACCTTTCAGCCAGTGACTGAACTTTTCGCAGATTGACCACTTCAAGGCTAGAAACTCCAACCGATGACCTGGGTAGTTCTTTTGGGACCGGGATAACGACTTGCCGGCAAAAGCAATAGGTCTGGCCCGTGTTTCGCCCTCCTGGATTTGGGACAAAACCGCACCTATGCCATCCAAGGACGCATCGGTTGACAGCATGAAGGGACGGTTGAAATCGGGGTGAGCTAAGACAACACTGTGGACCAGTGAAGCTTTCAGACTTTCAAAAGCCTGTCCCTGCTCAGGTGTCCAATCAGCCACACACAACTTCCTGCTCGACAGTTTGTTTTTGGGTTGTTTACCTCTCCTCTTTGCACCTTTCAACAGGTCGAACAGCGGCTTGGCCATAGCAGAGTAACCGGGCATGAAGTGTTGATAGTAATTTACCATCCCTAAGAAAGACCGTATGCGCTTTGGGGACGGAGTCACACCATCAGACTCCATGAGGTCAGTGCTCACCATGTTAGTGATGCTTTCAACCTTGCTGGGGTCTGTTGAAACACCATTCGCATCAAGTGGCTAAGAAACCTTACAGACCTCCTGAGGAAGAAGCACTTTTTAGGAGATAACTTCAAGTTGTGTCTACGCAGCCTCTTAAACACCATCTCCAGGCGCAGCAAGGCAGTCTCCTCATCAGGTGCAAACACTAGCAAGTCATCCAAGTAGCATAAGAGACTCAAATAGTTTTGGTCACCGAAAATGCTCGTCATCATGCGCATAAAGCTCCCGGGACTGTTGCAAAGGCCCTGCGGCAGACGGTTGTACTCATACTGACCCATGGGGGTGGTAAAGGCAGAGTACTTCCTGTCGTCCTCGTGGAGTGGCATGTTGTAAAAGCCGGAAGTCAGATCCATTGTGCTGAAGAGGCAGTTCCCCCCCAGCGCTGCTAAACAATCTGCCTGGTGTGGAAGAGGATGAGCATCCTTCAGTGTCCTTTTATTCAACCAGCGAAAATCTGCACAGATGCGTAGATCCCCGTTCTTCTTCCACACAAGCACCAACGGTGAGGCGTATTCGCTAGTTGACTTTCTGATGATCTCCTTTTCCTCCATCTCGCTTAGTACCTGGCGCAACTTTTGGTACTGGCCAGGGGGCACTCTCCTGTATGGGAGTCTGAATGGTCTGTTATCTGACAGGTGTATGCGATGTACAAAGTCCTTTGCCTCTCCACAATCGAGATGATGGCGCGAAAAGATGTCCTCATACTGCATCACAAGGTTAGCCATCTTCGTCTTACAGTTTACAGACACTTCACACGACTCAACGTCAACAGTACTGAGCCCAATTGAGCAAAGCTTTTCCTTGGCGGAGCCTGCATCAGTAATAGGAGGCATGGCTGATTGAGTGCATCCGGCCACCTCTATCGGTTCAACAACATCCATGTCCTCGAGCGCTGCACATGTAAAAACATCAGCTAGTTTTGCATTTCGCCTCAAGAGCACAGGTCTGTCAGATGTATTTATGAGCTTCAGCGGAACCTGCCCGTCTCCCCAAAGTGTGGTTACAATCTTTGCGACCAGAACCCCTCCGGGAGCCGAGCGGGATGAAGTGGGCTCTGTCATGACGGTGCTACCTGGTGAAATAGGAGTGTTCTTGGGTAGTTTTCCCCAGATGAGATATTCACGGCCAGGCTCGAGACAGGTCGCTGAGTTACACCTGACTGTACCGACATTGTCCGGTACATCACTACCTCTCCATGGACTCAAACCCGAGAGCATAGACAGGAAATGTTCAGCGTCTGGGTCTCTGTCTGGGCAGGGGCCAGACACTGTCCTCCAATAGGATTCGCAGGATTTAGATTGATGCAGGATGTATTTTATAACATTTGTCCCTATGATCAACTCGTCATGCTGTCCCGGGACAACGAGTGTTGGAACAAACATCTTACAACCATACACTTCCATCTCCACGCCAAAAGCACATTTGGGCCTCACACGAAGTCCCCCACATCCCACAAGGACTACATTGACATCTATCTGTTTCTGGTCGGTTATCACTCCAGCATCTCTCAGTTTCATCTCAGCTGTTTCACTAATGCTACACGCCATGGAGCCGCTGTCCAAAATGCCACCTATTGCAACCGTTCCACCCAGTACCGCAGGTGTGTAGAAAAGACTGTCACTACTGCCAACTCTGTGAATATTCTGGAAAACAACAACCTGAGATTCATCACACGAGTCTCTCACAGAGGTGTACACCGTCTCAGCATCAAACATGTCATCTATTTGGGAGTTTGTTGTGCGACTTGTATTGCCCCCTTCCGAATACAAGTCGACTAGTTTCCCTCCGTCTGGAATTGAGTTGAGGTTTTGGCAGTGCAGTTTAGTTTGGTGTGGCCGGGGGCGTGGCAGGCAAAACAAAGTCGGTCAGACATACAATGTGAAATGGTGGTGTGGCTTGAATCATTACAGACCTTACAAACTGCCTCCCTTGAACGCTTTTCATGGGACACATGCTGGAACCGCCCACCTAGAGTTGGACGCAAAGTGTTCCGTGGCTGCATTTTCTCCATCATCTCCTGAAACATGTCGACCATACGAGTGAGAAGCCTCTCCTCTGACTGCGGGAGATTCCTTTCATGACAGGGTTCGCCTTGAACTGGATTAGGATGACACACTTGCTGGTGCTGAATCTGGAGAGGGGGAGATGAAGGGCTCGCAGAAAGGTACTGCGCAGACATCGCCCTATCACTCAACGGCTGACTAGGTTGCTCAGAAGCGACTGCAGTGATGTAGTTTTTCAGTGGTACGGTATCAGTGGCGCCGCCCCGAGCCCTCAACTCACGCTGATAATCATCAATCCTCGACTGAACATCCCGTGCGGTCCATTCGTGAAGTAGTTTAAACTTTAGAGTGCAGGACAGTTCTGGGTCAGGGCAGTGCTTGACAAACATGAGAGCCACTTCATCATTCATGTTCTCCGTCCGCTTCCCTTGTCTGCACAAACCCTCAAGTGCAAGGTCGGCTGCTTTGTTCAGTCTTATCCAGTAGTCAACTGGGTTTTCTCTGTGCTTGGGCAAAGTAGCATAGAATCTGCGAGGGGAAGACATGAGGGAGCAACACTGAAGTAGTGGAGGAGAACATTATATATCCGTTCAGGTTCGACATCGAGCGCAAGATCACTACGCAAGGAAATCTTCACCACATCTCTGGCTTTGCCCATTAAATGACTCATTACTTCCTCTGCTTGGTCACAAACAGGAATCTGTCGTTTTCTGAGATGTGTTTTAGTCATGTCAATCCAATCCTGGACTGGGTATTTGTCGGTACTGTCACCTCTGAATGTCTGCAATCCTTTATCAGAATTCACATGGACTGTCACCTGTGGAGGACGGTCATGTTGATCAACATTAGTGTGTGTGGTCTGATCAGTAGTGGTCTGGTGCTCACTGGTCATGTTTACAACACCAGCTGACATTAACTTTTCGACAATGGACTCACCAATTTGGGCACCTAACTGCCCTACCATGGCTGTGAGATGGTGTATGACATCAGCATCACTGCTAGGAGTAGACGTGAGAGGACCCCTCATTAACCCACCAACGGGAGTACAATCTGGGCTCTGAGCTGAGCTGGGCTCTATCACGGTTATCCGGTGTTACCTTAGAGTGTCCCACATCCCTACTGTCAGCAACATAACTGAGCCAAGTGCCCCTGCCCTTTGGCAGACTCGGGCTAGCAAACTCATCCATGTTTACTTTAACGGCCGTTTACAACCAATAAATGTACTTGCGTTGTGTATTTAGAACCAAAACCCAGCAAAAACAAAAGAAAACAAGAATTCAAAATTCTTGATTGTCAAAAGTGGACTTTTTTTTTTTTTTTTTTTTTTTTACACTCTGCCCTAGTTCACAATCTTTTAAAAACCTGATATGACCATGAAGAGTACAAAGGCGGATCAGGACGTCAGCACAGCATCCACGGCGACGAGCATCAAGCTGATCTGAAGATCCGGGTCACGGCACCAATGTAACAGATGTGTTTAGGGCATGGAAGTAGTCGACTCAGGTACTGATCTTTTCAGCATTTATTTGCTCCTGCAGAAGACAATAAAACACAGACATTGCCTTCTGGTCTCTGCACATCAGCTCCCTACACACAGGGTCTTCAACAGTGTAACACTACTGTGTAGGAAAAACGGGACTCCCGCAAAATCTAAATTATAGCTTGTCAAAGATCCAAATTGTGACAAAAAAGGGGAGAACAACCCCAAGTGAACAAAATAAATAACAGTGATAACTGCAAAAATTCCAGCATTAAAACAAAAGAAAACACATACCTGCAGAAGACAATAAAACACAGACATTGCCTTCTGGTCTCTGCACATCAGCTCCCTACACACAGGGTCTATGGAGGGGAACGTATACGTCAGGACGACCGGATGTAGCGAGTACAAACGGCGCGAAATGAAACAATGACCAAACGTATACTTTTATCACCACTCCATCGAATAATGACGCACCACAGCTGAGAACCGTGGTCATGTTACCCACGCTAATGGTAGCTGATGTTAACAGTTATAATTGAGAACATAGCGAAATAGTGCGACGTCGTTTTTTTTTCTCAACTTACCTTCAACAGTGTAACACTACTGTGAAGGAAAAACGGGACTACGGAAGCCTAGGAGGCGCAGTAGAGATGAATCGCAATTTCCGCAAATTTGACTCATCAAAATAAAATTCACACACACACGTTCAACAAGATTGTTGAATAATAACCAAAAAAATAAAATACAATACTTTGAAAATGACAGTGTATTTCTAACTCCGTTACATTAGCTACAGTTAAGCGCTTGAGAGAAGCCGCACCCAAATCAAAGAGGGATGTACAAAATGACGAGGAGTTACAAAGGCTACAAAAACAGTATGCTAAAATGCAGCTGAATTTCCAGACGGCGACCACAATGGTTGAACTAAGGTTGGCTTCTGGAGAAAATTAAAAGAACGCCTAGCCCACTAGAGCTTTCATTCCCCAGAGCCCCTGAAGTGGTTACCAGAGGTGAGTTTTGAAGTAATGGCCAGATACGTGAGCTTGGATAGAAAGATAATTTTTCGTACACGAATCTCGTGCACCAAATAGTTTCTTGAAAACGTAAGGGCCACAGTGATTTCGAAATTGTTGAAGCGGTAGTAAAATGTGCTACACCAGGGTGATATGCTGTAAGCTAAAAGTAATTTGACACTGGTGCATTTGAAGACATTACATTACATTACATGTCATTTAGCTGACGCTTTTATCCAAAGCGACGTACAATAAGTGCATTCAACCATAGGGTACAAACTCAGGAAAACAAGAAACAAGAAAGTGCAATTTCCTCAAATAAGCCAATTTACAATTTGCTATAGATGAGTGACGTTACAAGTACAATTTAAGTGCTACAATTTGTTAGTCTTTAGTCGAGGTAGAGTCTGAAGAGGTGTGTCTTTAGTTTGCGGCGGAAGATGTGAAGGCTCTCTGCAAGACAATTCTCAAAGCCCATTTCAAAGAGAACAGTACTACAGATATGTTCCACAGACTAGTTAACATAACGCAAGATGCAAAAGGATCCCCTCAGAACTTTCTTTTTCGTGCAGTTGAACTCAAAGAGAGGCTACTAGCGGCTGCAAAAGATGCCAGCTCAGATGTACAGTATAGCCCAGACCTCATTCAGACGTTTCTTAGGTCAGTCAGTACAGGACTATTCAATTAAATTGAATTAATTTTATTTTGTATAGCCCAAAATCGCAAATTACAAATTTGCCTCAGAGGCAAGACATCAGACATGCCTCAGACATCCTCGGTCCTGAAACCCACACATCGGCACAGGAATAACTCCTGAAAACATGAAAAACCCTTCCATGGGAAAAAAAAGGGAAGAAACCTTAGGGAGAACGTCAGAGGAGAGATCCCACTCCCGGGATGGACAGACTACAACGGATGTCATGAGTACAGAATGAACAATGTATAGATGTATAATACATTCAATTCTTTCAATTCTTATGACAGAAATTATTCAAATAATTGTGAGTAGCAAGCCAGGCGCACGGTAGGACTACTGCAGGGACAATCACCATCCACAGAAGCCTGTGGGGAGGGAAAGCAAGACTTTAGGAGAGGGTAATGTTGGTTTACGATGACAGTAATGTGAGTAATATTTAAAATAATAATGATGATGATGACGGCAGCAGCAGGTATCAGCAGGGCCACGACAGGTGTCAGGACCAGGGTCCAGAAGGAACTAGGATCTACGGAGACCTGCTAGGGGAGAAAGGACAAAAAACTCACGGAAAGAAGCTGAATTAGTCATGTGCATTAATAAAACGTGGATTATTGTAGAAAGAGTGTGAGAGAGGAGGTTGGTATAGGCTTTGACTGCCCCGGCAGTAACTAAGCAGCTTAACCTGAGCCAGCCCTAACTATAAGCAAAATCAAAGAGGAAGGTTTTAAGCTTTATCTTAAAAGAGCTAACCGAATCTGGCCCCCGGACTGAAAGTAGAAGCTGTTTCCACAAAAGAACAGCTTGATAACTAAAGGCTCTGGCTCCCATCCTACTTTTTAAAACCCTTGCAACAACAAGTAACCCAGCATCTATGGAGCGCAGCTGCCTTGTAGGGCAATACGGTGTTACAAGCTCTTTAAAATAAGACGTTGCCTCACAAGCAAGTGCCTTGTAGGTGAGAAGTACCTTATATTCTATTCTTGATTTAACAGGGAGTAATATGATCCCTTTTCTTAGTTCTTGTTAATACACGTGCTGCAACATTCTGAATCAACTGGAGAGGCTTAAGAGTAGAAGTAACAAAACGCATCAACTAATTTTTCTACATCACTTTGAGAAAGGAAGTTCCTTATTTTCAATATATTACGTAGATGAAAAAAGGCAGCCCTTCTTTATATGAGCGTTGAAGGACATATCCTGGTTGAAGAGAACTCCAGGATTCTTGACGGTGCTTCTGGATACCAGAGCAATTCCATCCATAAAAAGTGTATCAAGTGATAGCTGACTTCGAAGGCGCTCTGGGCCTATCAAGATCTTCTGTTTTTTCTGTTTAGCATCAGGAAGTTGTCGGTCATCCAAGTTTTGATGTCTCCAGGACATTCTTGAAGTCTAACAAGCTTGTCAGTCTCTTCTGGTTTGATCGACAGATACAGTTGAGTATCGTCTGCATAACAATGGAAGTTTATACGGTGTTTCCTAATAAGACCGCCCAAAGGAAGCATATACAGGGTAAATAAAATTGGTCCAAGTACAGAACCTTGTGGGACTCTGTAACCAACATTGGTGGTCTTTGAGGATTCACCGTTTACAAGCACAAACTCTGATCGATCCGATAAGTAGGATTTAAACCAGCTGAGTGCAGTTCCTTTGATACAAATCAAATATTCTAGTCTCTGCAACAGGATACAATGGTCTATGGTATCAAATGCGGCACTGAGGTCCAGCAAGACCATAAAAAAGATGAGTCTTTCGTCCGATGCAAGTAGAAGATTATTTGTAATTTTCACCAGTGCTGTTTCTGTGCTACTCGAAATCCTGACTGGAAATCCTCGAACAAAATTGATTTGCGACGGATTTCTCAAGGATCTTAGAGAGGAAGGGACGATTAGAGATTAGAGATAATGTTAAAATGCAGCTGAAACCTCACCTGGATGATCTAGGAGTGACTGGCGAGATATTACTAGAGAAAATGAATGAGGCTGCTGCTGTGGATTGGGAGACACAGCAGAAATTGAAGAAAAGTATCCCAAACAAGCCAAGACAGAATAAATGAGCTACAACCAGAAATAACTACTTACAGCTGTATAGTGACAGGGAAACAGACTTTGGCCAGCAGTCTGAACACAGCACTTCAGTCAAGGCTAGTGTTAAAAGCCAGAAGATACCCGCTGCAAAAAGCCCAGCAGAAACCGAACTGATAGATGCAGTGAAACAGTTGAGAGGAAGTGGCTGAGCAGAGAAATAATGTTCAGTACTCAGCAAGACCATCTCACCAGTTCCAAAGCAGAGGGAAGAGGGAATGCAGAGGATGTCAAGACTGGGGAGAAGTGAAAGTGACCACTGCTTCAAATGTGGCCTGAGTGGACACTTCTCAAAAGGATCCAGAGGCCAAAGGAACATAAGAGGTAACACTGATTCAGCATGTGTCTGTGCCTAAGCAGCTTCGCAAAGAAGTAAAACAGTACTTAGAACTTGTTAAACAGGGGCTGGTTCCAAAAATCAAGGTCACACTACTCATCTCCCATTGTCTGTGTGCGGAACCTCTGTCTGTGCTGTGATTATAGAGACTCTGCCAGATTGCCATCCTATCTGGCAGAGTCTGCGGGGAAAACGCTTGCCCTGGATCACCAGCTGGATTCCTGGCGGACGCAGTCGGCTCTCCCAGAGCCCCCGGAAGGCGTTCGGGTTGCCGTTCTCACCACCCTCCGGTCGCCACTTTGCCTCCGGAGGTGGTCTCCAGTTGCCGGGTCACACTGGGAGCAGGTGATGGAGCTCGCTGCCCAACTCTAGGCCACCTACTCCCTCTACGTTGGGCCGCAGCCTCCCGATGCCTTGTCCCTGGTCCCCGCCTGTGTTTTTTCCCCCTTGGCATTTTTTTGATTTTGCCGATTAAAGGCTTTTTGTTTTTCAAACTCTGCGTCTGGGTCCTGCCTTCCCCGTTCCTGACACTGATAAGCTAGAGTTTTTAGCAATGAAATGGGCCATATGCGAGAGGTTTAGGGATTATTTGTATTATACTACACCGTTTGTAGTATATACAGATAATAACCCTCTGACATATGTGGTGACAACAGCTAAATTGAACACCACATTGCTGAGATGGATGGCTGAATTGGCAGATTTCCGATTTAAAATAAGTACAGGCCAGGGAAGTCTAATTCTGACGCAGACGGGCTATCAAGAATGCCCCTTGACATAGAGTGCTAACCTGTTCACAACAGATACAGGCTGAAATCTTGTCCATTGTCTCCAAAGGGTTGTCAGTTCACCAGGTGGAGAGAGAGCCGTTACTGTGTACAGTGACCATCACCACAGCCATCGCAGAGCTGAGCAGTGAGCGGATGAGCGCAGCGAAGCAGATTGCCCCTCA